ACCAGCCAGGGCAGGGGGTCAAAACGGCCAAGTTCTCAACACCTGAGGGACGGATGTCTTGCTGAAGCAAGGGACCGGATGTCTCCTTTGAGGCTTGTCGTGAGACAACCGCGACGGGCGAAACGACCGCCCGGGACGGCTCAGACGGGGTCCGAGGGTCCTGGGCGACCATTCAACCGACCCGATGTGCAGGTGACTGAGTGCACCGTTGAAGTGTATCGCCGTGGCCGAATCCCGAAAATAGCCTGAATCCCGAAGAAGCCTTATTTTACTCGAATTTGTCACTAAACCAACACAATGGGGTATGATTCGTGCCCAACACCAAAACGGGACAGAAAGGAGTGGAGAGCTCTGAGAGCTCTCAGGATCGAGCAACAAGGATTGAGCCTTTCCCGATGAGATTGTGCGGAATCCGGTGATTCCATCTACTATATGGAGAAACATCTTTGACGAACCCCTTTTCCCTAGTGTATACCCAAAAAAGCTATCCATCCATCCATATCCATCCTTAGAAGCCTTTTGAACACCTCTTAAACATGCTCTTGACACGTACAGCCTCGCTTCCTTTCCTGCCACTTGGCTCCGCTGGCCTCCGGATTTCCACGCTCCGGCCGCTCCTCATGGCTTCGCTCCTCATGGCACGTTCCAAAGCGTGCTTTTGGAAGAACCAGGGTCTTTCTCACCGCAAACGCTGTAGACGGTAGGACTGTAGACACCGAAAAAAAAGAAAAACGAGACCTTTTTTGCGAACGTGAACAGATTCGTCTCCGATGTCGGACATGCCGAAACCCATGGTGACTGGTGACCGCCTTTCGCTCCACCGAGCGACCGGTCGACCGGTCGAAAGCGATCGAAAGCGACTGGTCGCGGGTGGGGTTCCGTTCACCGATGTTTTTCCAATAACCGCATCATCGGTTTTTACAGGAACCGGAAGGTTTTACAGGGATGTTCGTTGTGTCATCCGTGTGAGGAGCTGCTGAAGCATGCGAGCGCCAGCTGTGTTTCACATGGGACTGGACTGTATCATGGCATCAAAGTTACCAAGTTCTGAGGGAACAAACAGAAAGATCATTGTCCAAACACCTCTGGCAGAGGGACCAAAGAACATGAATCTTCATTGAGGCTTTGATGATCCTGGGGAATTGTTTGGACATCTCGTGCTTCACAGTGTGGCGGTATGTGCCACACAGCTTTATACCATTGATACCATGAAGCTGCACCTACCTATGATGGTGATGATAAACCTTAGCAAACATGCTGAGAAACCCTGAACGCTTCTGTTCCTTACAATCAAATATGTAGTCCCAACATACCTGGCTCAGCATCAAAAAGACCCGGCGACACTCTACACCTCTCTAAAATCGCATCCAAGAAGCCCAGGATCTCATCCATCGTGAGGTCAGACCTCATCCTCTTCCGCAAAGCTTCCCTCCTCACATCAGTTCTACCCGACCCGACAAATGCACGGGGGATCCTTCATTTCAAACAAAGCCCTATAAAGGTGTGGTGACACAACATATAGAGGTCCTCACCACAAACAGAAACGACAGAAACAAGTTCCATAAATGCAACATGGGATCACCGTTAGTCTTCTACTTCGTTTTTTCATCACCGTGATCCATTTGGGGGTCACTCCAATCGTTCGCTTGTACCACCAGGTCCGCTCGCCCCGCTCGCTCCTCAAACGTTCAGCCTGCTGCTCCTCCCTCATGCGCTTCCGACTCAAGACCTGTTGCTTCGCAAAAGCATTTCGCGCTAAAGCATTTCGCCATTGGAGAAGCAGCCTCCTCACATGGAATTTCTGGTCTTGCATAGCCATACGCTGTCGCTCCCAATGCTGCAAGTGTCTGCTTCTCACAGGTGCGTGAGAAGTGTACAAAGCGCGCATTCTCCGCAACGGCGCTGCGCTGCGACCTTTTCCAGTGTTTTCCCACATCTCTTTGACAACAGCTTGAAGACGAATCCACACATCATCAAGGTCACCAGGGCTGTAGCGCACAAAAATGGCTCCTTTTTTCGCGCCCGGCTTCAGCACCAACTCGCGAAATGGCGCCATGAGATTGCGGAGCTTGGCAACTTCTTGGGCTGAGCGAACGGTAGGGGACTTGATGGTCTCTGGGCCAAGAAAAATGCCAATACTTTGTTGCAGGAAAAAGCGGGGGCTAAGGTCTTCGTAGCTCCTGGCGGTGTTCACCGTCAGCTTCCAGAAACCAAACATAGCCATAAGCCGATGAATGCTTTTTTGCTAGACATGGTGAACATCTTCAGCTTTGACTCGGAAAGCTTGTCCCTAGAAGTCCAAAGACTGTACTTTTCCATGGGGGAGCAAAGACAATTTCCTTTCAAGTCCCCTAATAGCAATGGCCTCCGACCTAGAAGCAAGGTCTTTCTTTTGTTCTTTCTTTTTATAGTCTTTGACTCCCACAGTTCTTTTTCTTCCCTCCTGCCTGCCGTACTCAGCCAGAGATCGCTCCAGTGCTTCCTGAAGTCGACGTCCGAAGAAGGCGTCTTCCGCATCCGCATCATTCGAGGCACCTTGCATTCTCTGCTTCACTGATGTCAGGATGATCAAGAACTCAACGGCTGTTGACAAATCGCAGTTCCTGGTGTAGATTCGAAGCGAGTCAAAACCCACCTTAGCCTGGTACTCAGTACCACTTCTGAACATCCCCTTCATCTCTGAATAATGTTTCCTCTTGGTCTTCTTCTGAAACCTCTGCTTGGCCTGTGCAGGAACCAAGCTTACAGTCATGCAAGGTGCATCATCGGCGGCCGCGGATGCTGTGGTGGATCTGTCAGCTGCCTCTTTTGGATCGTCATTTGAAGACTGCGCCTTGGAAGCTGCTTGCTCAGTTTCTCGCTCACTCTCCGCTTCACGCTGAGTCACAATCCACTTCTCAAAAAGCACACGCTGCTTCTGCGTGAACTCCTTTTGGATGATGTCACTGCGGGCCTCCCTTGTCAATCCCTTCATGAGTTCGTAGAGCTTCGTCAGCAGCTTGTCATGCGAAAACACCTTCGATGCATTCGCGGATGGCTTCGAAGCGCTTGACGCCTGACTTGTGTGCTCTGGCTTTGGTGTTGCTTGACGCTTCTCTTGAGGCTGTGCCGGCTTCTTCTTTGGCTTCGCCTTCTGCTTCGGTGCCGACCCAGTGCTGGTTGCTCTCTGAGTGTCGTAGTGCTTCCTTGCTTCGGGATCCGCCAAGGTCTCAAAGGCTTGGTAGACCAAATGAAAGGCCTCCTTGCTCCCACCTGACGATTTGACTTTAGGGACTGGCAGCCCCACACCGACGTGTCGAGTGACTCGTCCTTCTACGTACTATACTGGTTGGTGTTTTCAACCCAATTGAAAAATATGAGTCAGAGGGTCCAATCATCCCCAATGGCCCAAGTAAGGGTTGAAAATAAACATATCCGAAATGATCTCCTAGCATCTACAGTTCTATAGGTCATTAGGTCTACAGTTCTTCAAGAGTTGAAACACCCAGCATCTCAGGAGACCCAGCGTCCGATCGCTCCGTTCGTAGCGATGCCCTTCTCGTTACGGTCGTAGCGATGGCTTCCACCTAGTAGCTTCTTGTTACGTAGTAATGCCAGGAGCTACGTGCGTAGCTTCTTGCTACTAATAGCGCACCACGCCTGGTCCCGCAAGGCTTCCGCGTCGTCCGCCCTCCATCGTGCCTTTGTCCGGATGGACCTGCAAGGCACGTCGCTTGAAGGCCAATTTGATCTCCTCCCCCGTGGCCTCGGACGTCACACCCAGCAGCCCATAGAAGGACACCATGGCGACGACGAAGTCTCGCCGGCGAGCATGGCGTCGAGATGATGGCACGGTCGCGTTGAAACGACCCAAGTGAAGCTAAGTTTATACTGAACATTTGCTAAGAAACACTAGACTTAGCCAAGAAGTTCTTTCAAAAACACTCCTTAGCTGAGTTTGCTTTCAGAAAATCTTCAGGCCTTACAGTTTTTTGGAGGAAGCTTTTCTCGAAGCCTGTATCTTTGGTGTCCATACATTTGCAACATCAACACATACAGTATTTGATGTGCCTTCCCCCATGATTTTTCATGGGTGAATACGTTTTCATTTGCCACCGCCAAAGCGAATCCAAACTTCCAAGATGTCCTGTTGGCATGAGCGAATCCGCTTTGTATGTATGCTTTGTGCAGCCAATTCACTAAGGTCTGAGAACTCTCACCACTCACCACGGCGCACACAGCCGCCCAGCCGCCGGAAACCGCATCGATCGACCGAGTCGCTCCGGACGTCTGGACCGGTCCGTCGGTGCGAACCGACGGATACGTAGCCGCTACGGCCATCGCTAGTCGCCTAGACAGTCGACTGAGGGCCGGCAGCTATTTGAGTGAATTCTTCTTTTTCCCTTCGATGTATCACAAAAAGACACCTCGTAGATCCCAGTGGGCCATTGGCCGATTTCAAAAAACACCTGCAAATTGCCTGCAACACATGAATCGAGCAAGCGACCCATCACCACCGGCCCCATGTCAAGCTTTACTCCCTCGCCATCCTTTCGCCATCCGGGTCGCCTTTGCCCACACGAGCCCCACACGAAACATGCCAGTGCTGACTGGGGGAGGAGGAGGTCCTCCATTCTTCCAGAAAAACGACATCAGCGTCTCGCACCCCATCCAGTCTGTTGAGTCGGAGCTACCAGTCATCGACCCGGAGAACGACGTCACCGGGGCGCCACGGACGTCGGCTCGGCTCCGTCGGGCCCCGAAGCGAATCGGACGTCCGCAGAGTCAGGAGACCCCCGGACGGGTGCTGACGATGCGACCGAAACAGGTCCGAGCGAATTCCAATTAGGTGATCTGGGTCTCACCGACATCGTATTCACCACTGCGTATCATTTGCTCCAGAGAATTTGGGCCGGACTCCCTTTCTTCCAACACTTCCATCTACCTTCCTGTCTCCCCCTCATCCAAAACCAGGTCGAAACTGACCGACCTCCTCCCCGATCTCCCCAGGGCCGCCGGACTCCACGTTCACGTCCGCAGACAAGGACTGCCGCAGCTCCACGTTGAGTCGACCGATGGAATTCTGCGTTCACGGCGAAACGGCGAGACGAAACGGCGGCGAGTTCACAAGGAACGCGAAGAGACCTCATGGGGAGACCCATGACACCACTGAAGGTACCCGTCGCAATTCATGTGTCATGGTGTCTCTTCATGTGTCATGTTTTCAGTCTTCAAGGGAAGAACCACCTTTTTGGACCGCCCCAGGTGTGTCAAGAGAAGACATGCGGATCTGAGAATCTGGGTTTTTGCCATGGCTTACAGCTTCGGCCCTTGAAAACCTCAAGAACTCAAGACTAAACATACTCCAATTCAGCCATCGGCCTGAGGAAGTGTGGAGTTGCAAACACCAAACTCAGATTTTTCCTACGTCCCACTCTTCTCTAGAAAAGCTTTGTCTTCCATCAAGCGCTTTGCGTATTCCTCAAAAGTCTCACTGCCCTGCACTTCTGGAGCTCGCTCTGTGAATTTCAATCAAAGACGAAGAGCAGAGTTCAAGACTGGCTGGAGAAGAAGAGTCACGAAGATTGTCTTGGGGACACTGAAGATGACAACCACTTTCACGTTCCGAAGCCAAAAACAATCCAAAGAAGATTCTTAAAGGATTGAAGAGATTCACCAAAAACCAAATCCCACAAACAGCAATTATTGCAAAAGTTCAAAACGCAGCAACGAAGCTTCTTCCGTTTTGCTTCCTCCCCACGAACCAGCGGGACAACCGATGTCACTGCAATCACAGTGTTGTAAGGATCAGCTCTCAGCTTGGAATGCGACGGTCCGAGGGACATGCGACATCCAATCTGATTCGCTCGTTCCGTGTGTCGATGAAGTGGTTGAACCTGAACCAACGCTGCCATGCTGCGTTTCACCCGAATCTTCTGCTCATCGCAGTTCATCCACCAATTCCAGAGGTGGAACCTGAACTAGTACAAGATTCCCAATAGTACAAGTACCCCATGGTGATGGTCCGAGTTTCCATACGGTCGTCTATACCCTAGGAGTCAAAGACTATAAAAAGAATGGTCTGACTAGGGGACCTGAAAGGGAATTTCCTTTACTTCAGCCGGTCAAAATATAGTCGAACTGGACTTCTAGGGTATAGACTTCCAATTCCCTACGGACCTGCTGTGGCACACCATTTCCAAACATCCACGACCGAGCCCACGAGCAGGTCGTACTCGTTGGTCCGTCGTCGCTGCGGATTGGACCGTGACCATCGGACCATCACCGGGTACCGAATTATGGGATAGTCGAACTACGGTTCTGACCCTCCTCTCTTGGGATTCTTTGTTCCGAAGCTGCCCTTTGCACACGAGGCTTCCTCTCCCCCTTCTACCGACTGTTCGAATTCGAAGCGTCACGTGACCGTGGCCCATGAAAACCACCCACCCGAACTTCGGTCGAGGTTGGCGCGAAACGTCTGCGCCGCGGTTGTCGCGCGATCCGTCCGCGGCGGTCCGTCGCGCTACGCCTCGAGCCAGTGATCCAGTTGGAGCTTGCTCCAGATCAGCCTCACTTGGTTGTCTTTACACATGGGTAAGCCTGTTTTCGTCTTGGTACCGATGGAACCCAACTTGGCGCTTTGATTTGGAGAAGACGGGGTGCCATAAACTTCTCAGCATGTGGACGATCCAACCCCCCCTGTGTCACAAACAACTTGCAATCTGCCGTTTCCCCACTCCCCACAGAGCTTTGAGAGTACGTGTCTGAACACCATCTGTGGAAAAGACATCTAGCTGCCAATCTGTGTGAATATAGGGCGACCAGGCTTGGTTCAGGGTCCGTCGAAGGTGGCTTGTGGAATTGAGTTGTATGTTGATGCGGTATCCGAGCATGGCCTCATGGCTGAGCACTGGATTGTTGGGGAGTTCATCGAATTCTGGAAAAGTATTTAGTTCAATCGCTGGTCCCGCGATCGTCCCAAAATCGGGTGTCCCATGGAGTGGGCCCAGGTCGTCCACCAGCGTTCGTTCCAGGCGTCTTTCTTGCTAGCTAGGCATTCGAAGTTCCGTTCAGCCTGTTCTGGTCATCAGAATGGACCATGATCAAACTGTTCGCTTCTTGTCAACTTGTGCGCAGCGTTCGCATCGCTGCCTTCTGTGAAAAGACAGGTATGCGTTTTCTTATTCCAAGACCCACCAAGACAAGACCTTCCTGGAAACCCAGTGGTTGGTAGACCACCCTAGGCCACGGCCTCGGCCTTTTATAGAATTCGATGGCCTCTACCTCACCTTTAGCCCTAGCTAAGTGGCTGCGCCGACCATGACTCATGGTGCGAGCAAAACACTGGGACATACTGGGACTCTGGGCGGGGTGATGTGCGTGATGTGGTACTAAATGGCACTGGTTCGAATCAAAAGGACCTTTGGTTGACCACCGAAGAGGAACCGAATAGATCACCAAAGCAGGTCAACAATCAGGGTCTTGACCCGCTGTCCGATCACTACCAGGACCTTCGGCCATGCCGCCGCCGATGGCGTCCCCCCGTCCCCGATTCCCCGTGGCTGCACGACGAGTGGCAGCACGATGCCTGCCGTGGTGCCCGCAGCGGCAGGGACGGGCGCCCGGGTGGGTTCAAGGGTGAAGCGAGGAAGTGGTTGGTTTGTCGAGCCAGGAACTGGCTCGAAACTGCAAAGGATCTGCATTGGCCCGCACTCCAAAGGTATTATACATGACTGACATATCTCTGCATGCACGCATGTATTTCAAACATCCTGGATGTGACTCAAAAGTTCCTTAACTTTGGCCCTTTCAAAGCATGCAAAGCACCGTGCAGGCCCAGTAGAATGGCTCTCCCAGTCAACGCCAAGAGGTTCCAATGTGCTCATGCATCTTCATGTACTCCTCCGGAAGATCTCTCACACACCAGAGCCTCTCTCTTGTAAGACAGTTAGTCAGTGCTGGTGAACCATGGTGAACCTCATCCCTGACCAGACGAAGAACTAACCAAAGTCGTCACCAAGGTCGTCGCTCATGTGTGAATTGGCCGACCCAAGCCCGATGACACCGATGACCTCGCCGAAGCAAGGGATTCTTCCAACAAGATCGAAGGCACAGAAAGGGTGGATCTGGACCGGAAAGACTGTAAGTTCCGGTCGAGGGGTCACACCAAACTCCGACCCACTCTATCAAAGAAACATAAAACAAATGGTACTTTGAAAGACCTTTGTACTTTCTACAAACCAGCAACCTGGAACCCCGAAGGGGAGGTTAATGGACACCCCTTGACCTCGAAGGGGCTATTCATGGACACCGTTTCCATGGTAAAAAGACTCACGAACGAACTAGCGAAGACCACTTCCAAGATGAAGGAAAAACACACCGAAAGGATTGTTTTCCAATTCATACCTTGCAAGGTCACCTCCTCTCAATCCGCACCAGTTCACCACACCACCCACCTCAGAACCGTCCAGTCGGATATGACGTGACCCGGGCCACGGGCCCCAGAATGGAAGGATCAGAATGCCGGACACGGCGTACCTCGGCGATGCCACCACACCACGCGGCGATGTCGAGTACGTCGGGAAGCGTCGAACGGCGCGTCGTGTGGCGAAACGTACGTCCGTGACGATGGTCACGTCCGGAGCGGAATAGACTGGAGGTCTTTCGCAAAGCAAGCGAATGAAACAAAGAGTATACATGTTTTTTCACCAAATAATATCGGCGGGGTGATTCAAAAACCTTGGCCTTGGCCGCAGGATGAAGATCAAAAACGTCTTGTATTTGTTGGGTGGGTGGCCGCTGCAAAACGATGGGGGCCGTTTCTAATTTTGTTGGTTCATAGATGTGGAGACAAGAGACGTGCGCAAATGCGCTGATTTGGTGGAACCCACGAACCCGAATGCAAACACTCAAACAATTTTTGACACTCTTGTAGCAAACACTTTTGTGGAACACTCGGTCGGACACTCTTGTAGGACACTCTTGTAGGACACTTTTTTGGGACACTCTTGTGGGACACTCTTGCGGAACACTCTTGCAGGACACTCTTATGGGACGCTCTCGTGGGACACTTATGCACGACACTCTTGTATGTCACTCTTGTGGGACACTCTTGTGGGGCACTCTTGTCGGACACTCTTGTGGGGCACTCTTGTAAGACACTCTTGTCGGACATTCTTGTGGGACACTCTCATAGGACACTCTTGTCGGACACTCTTGTAGGACACTCTTATATGGGACACTCTTATATGACACTCTTGTGGACAGTCTTGTACGACACTCTTTCTGGGAAAGTCTTGTAGGACACTCTTGTGGGGCACTCTTGTAGGACACTCTTGTGGGGCACTCTTGTATGGACACTCTTGTGGGGTACTCTTGTATGGACACTCTTGTGGGGAACTCTTGTGGGGGACTCTTGTGGGACACTCTTGTGGGGCACTCTTGTAGGACACTATTGCCTGGCTGCCTCTAGGGTGAGGCTTCAGCGGCTGGGAGATTCCACTGGCCAGTCGAGGCGACGTCGGCGTTGGAGGCCTCCAAATCAAATAAGGGGTGGGGCAGTGTTCAGGAGCGACGCTTCAAATTTCAATGTCACACAACCGCAAACCCGCGCTAGCAGCTAGCGACCCAATTTGTTTTCGCGTGATGAAAATTTCAGCGCCTCACGTTTCCCGAGCTTGCGACGCTTGATTTTACAAGCTTCCAAGAATGGTTCATGAGACTCAGCGTCGCCGTTTACTGCCTCGCTGGTAGAGCTTGTAATTGGCGACGAGGTCATGGTTGACTGCGAGCTGGGCTCGTTCAAACTCAGTATCGCAAATCTTTCCTCCAAAGTCGGCTCCTCAATAGCTGTAGAGATTGCTTCTGAAGCTGCCGCGCAACTCCTCGCTAAATGCACCCGGTTCCAATCTCTTTCTTGCAGGGCCCGGTCAAGTAGCAACGTCTCCCGGGCAGCACGTATGGATTGCTGCGCGGCTGGCAGCGGTTTGATGGTCCGCCCTCCTTTGGGGTTGCACTGAGGCCCATGACATTCTCAAGCAGCAAGACCGTTGGCTTTGTGTCGAGTGTTCTCAAGTAATTCAAGATCCCTCCGAAGACCCCGCCTGTCCACAGTGAGGAATGCCCGACACAAGATCGATTTGCTTGGGTCCGGCTATGGGGGTTCAGATGCGAAACATCTGTGCATGGAAAGCGAGCTGCCAGCGTCTCGCAAGCCGGCGCAGGAACCAGACTGCCTGTTTTGAAGCACCACGCTTCTTGGTCCGGCAGGTCCATGACATCCCCAAAGATGTGTCCGACGCCAGGGTGGATCGTCCTGATGAACCCCCGCTTGTTGGGGTCCAGCTCGCTGAAACCTCATGTCCAGCTTCTCAAAGTTGCCCCACGACCGCCACCGCTCACAAACCGCGGCAGGAATCCTCTGGCTGCCTCTAGGGTGAGACTTCAGTGCCTAGAGGTCACAGATCCAGCGAAGGAGAGGGGTTGTCGTTAAAGGCCTCTAAAGAAGGGAGATTCCACTGATGGAGAGAGGTCATAGATCCAGTGAAGGCAAGGTCGTCGTTGGAGGCCTCTAAAGAATAGAGCGTCACTAAATGACCTGAGCCGCCAAAAGGAAACGCCACGCGTGCAGACACAGCAAACAGCTTCGCGGTCACGCGCCGAACGAACTCAGAAAAGCAAATGTCACTTTTACACATACAACGTGCCTGTTCTGTTCTGTCTGGCCTCCTATTCCTCGAGCCTCTGACTTCAGCCAGAAGCAGTTCTCAAACACACAACCGAAAGCACTATACAAAAGTGTGTTTGAACAACTGCTGCTCTGTCACACTTTCACATGCGCCGAACTGGGTGTTGAAGTGCAAAAGAGTGCAAACGAAAGAAGATTGCCACCTTTCTTACCAAAAGCCTCTCCGATGCTTGGGTTGTCGTTTAGGGGCTGGCCAGGGAAGATGGAGGGAAGCGAGACGGGAGGGACGGGAGGCGCATGGGTGGATGGGGACAGGGCTGGGAGGGAAGATGGAGGGAGCGAGACGGGGGGTGCATGGGTGTGGACGGATGAGTGGGGGAGGATAGAGGGGAGCGAGACGGGAGGCGCATGGATGGGGATGGGGCTGGGGGGGGACGGGGCTGGGGGGGGGGGGGCGGGGGGCGCATGGGTGGGGACGGGGCTGGGGAGGGAAGAGGAGGGAAGATGGAGGGGATGCGTGGGGACGGGGCGTGCCTCGTGCATTTCGTCAACGGCATGCCGGAGGCCCTCTTGCTGGCTCCTCCACGGCATTTGGCCTGGGGCAACCAGACCGGACCCATGGGTCAATGGGCCCGATGAAACTTGCGTCCAGACACGGCGCGGCACTTCTGTGTGAGTCCACCCACCTTTCGCAGTCACGGCCCCCTGCGCACCCAACATCGGTTCCGATGAAGGGGCAATCGGGGCGCTTACAGACATGCTTTCTCTTACGAAAGCGGTCTGGTCTGGGACCGGCGGAAGGGCCAGATTGGGCGGAAGATCGGTGCCGTATTGGCGTAAGGGCATTGAGGTAACCATACCGGCTACTTGGCGGGAACGGCCCTTCTTTGAGCATAGCTCTCAAGAACGGGTCCGTACCCTCCCCATGCATGCACCTCGGCCATGCGCAGGAAGACGGGACAGTCGTTCCCTCCAGCGCATTCGGCCTTCTCAGGGCAAGACTGTCTCCAACATGGCGGGGCCCTCTTAAATCCGCCGCGGTTGTTGAGAAAGGCGCTGGCTGGTCTTGGAGGTGCTGGGTCTTTTCGCCGGGCCAGCGGGTGGGCAGCCTCAGGTGGCAGAGTGCCCCGGCTTTGCTCGACCCGCTGGACGTTCGCGCGCATACGAAAAGGCTCATGCTGCGGCTCGCCTCTTCCTCACGACAGGTTATACGTGTCAAACACATGAACCAGCTGTTTCACGCACAAAGGATCAAAAGGCATGGTCTGGTGCAGGTCCTCCACCTGGGCTAGCGGACGCGTCCAGGTTTCCATCCTTTGTCAAAACAACCTGAAGCATCCTTTGTAGCACTTATTTCTGGCGAACCATGGTTTGGAGCACTTATTGGAAGTTTGAGCGTTAATTGAGGGTATGTACACTTTTCAGGACATATGAGCGCTTTTTGGTGATGTAAATTCTAAAGCCTACTGGTTCCTGACCAGTGTCCTTATCAACCCTTGTGGGCCTTTGGGGGCCCTATGGACCGGGTGGAAATCCTACATGACCTCCTACTAGTAGTATGTGCAAATGAAACGACAAAGGTTTGGTTCCAACCTTCTGGGCGTGCTTTACAACAATTTTTCCAAAAAGGGTGCCCGCAACTTGGGCGCAAATTCCCGCAACCCGGGCGCAAATTCCCGCAACCCGGGCGCAATTTTAAAAAGTGGCGGATTGTTATTTTACTTACTGTAAATATTTTATGTTGATACTGATGATCAAAGAAAGGGGTTGCTGGCTGCCGCTTCGTAGTGTGTGAGCGTGTGTTGTGTGTGCATGGGATGGGTGCCAGCATGTGGCAGGGGAATGGACTTGAAGACCACATAAGGTGGAATGAAGCTACATCTGACTTTCCTGTGGTACGCTTTTTCAAGGCATGAACACATTTTTTGATGATGTGCAGTTTTTTTCTGTCACTTTTTTCTGCTACGACGGAGGGTTCAGGAAAGTTCAAGCAAGTCAAGATTTGCCTCTGCTTGGCCCAAGTCATTGCAGAAACGGCAGGATGGTTGCATGCCAGAACCGCATTGCTTCAAATTTCATGGTTGGAACGAAGCATGGAGGGAGCTGATGCTGCTCCACGCTTCCTGGAAGGGTTGTTAGAAGCCATGTTGCAGTCGTTTTATGACCGTTTTGGAGGGCTTTCAAAACGGACCAAGGATTGGACGGGGGTGTATATATGGCAGACGGGGGTGGACGGATGCGCACTAGAGCCGCGATGCTTGAAATATCATGGTTGCCACGAAGCCTGGAGGGGGCTGATGCTCCGTTTTGGCCTGCTAATGTGTGTTTGTCTATTTTTCCTGGGTTGCACGCTTCTTTTTGCTTCTGGGTCCTCGGGCTCACCTTGTTTTGGTTGCTGTCGCAGGTTGTGGAGTTGATGAATAGCTAACCATCAAGACCTCAGCTGTAGTTGCTCAAGGGATCTGGCTGCCACGGAGAAAATCAAAGCACCAAAGTCAGGGTGCGAATCTTTGCAACTGCGCTGTCCGATCAGCGAGATCGGTGCGGCGAGCGGCTGCGGTCACGTTCATCGCCCGAGCCATCGGTGGTGCCACGCAAGATCCATTCCCAGGCTCGATCCTGTCGATCCAGCTAATCTGGTCGAGGAGGGTGGCCCTTTGAGCTTTCATGCTCTGACGAACCTCCCGTGCAAGGCGATGAAGTGAGCACTGCAATTGCCCCAACGTGGGGCAATTGAAGAGCCTGCTGAAATTCCATGGCTCAGGAAAATGGAGCGGCCGAAAAAGAGTCAAGTGAACATGCAATGAACTTGTCGTCCAGACATTTGAGGACTTTGTCAAGTTAAGACATGTTCATGTGTCCAGCATGGCATGTACACATTCCTGCATTCTGTCGGGGCCGCCTTGAAAGTTAAATCGCCGGTCGATAAACATTTAGTGAGATCTGACGAACGGCCGACTATCATGACAATTTTTCGTCTGCAAGTATTTTTTATTATCAAAGACGATCATCTAAACTTTAAACGAAAGAAATTGTCATCTTCGATGAAGTTTATCAAAACCGTGCCACGAAGGAGTTCCACAAGAGTGTCCTACAAGAGTGTTCTACATCGCTTCAGAGAAGTCAGCGATCTCTCACGCCTTGCGTGGCGTCCAAGTCAATGTGACTGTGGCGACCATCGGGTTCTGGCGACGAACGAGGTTCGAGCCTTATACCGCCCGCAGGTGCAAACCCTGGTGATGGAGTTTGTGACTTCATCACTCGGATCAGTTCATTCAAGCTGTGATCCACGACGTGGTCATTGTGGCACCGTCGCTCGTGGTCAAGCGCTTCTTCTGGGTCTCGTAAGCCTTCAGACATGCGTTTTCTCTCATACCCTAATAATCCCCCACCCGAAGCAACACCTCGGGGCTTTGGGAACCGGGCCCGGACCCCGTTTCGGTGGAGAAGGGCCGGGTAGGGCACCCACCTCCCACCGAGCTCCCCGACACCCAGCAGGTCCTGCAGTGTCGGTTGGAGACGTTCCACCGGGATGGTGAGGACCGGAACAGGTGGAACGGTTGGACAACAGCTAGAGACGTACACAGGATGGGTTTTGTTCGTTCCACAGATGCACCTGGACAACAGCTAGACGTACACAGGATGGGTCTTTTTGGGTTCCACAGATTCATAGAAACAGCTAGAACTTGAGTAGCAAGAACCCCTCATGAAGCATGAAGCATCCGTCTACGGCTTTTGAGCGCCCTTTTGGAGGCCATGTGCGAGGACGAGAAGAAGGATCCGCAAGATCTTGCAAGACAGGTATACCCTGGGAGTCAAAGACAAAAAGAATGGTCTGACTAGGGGAACTGAAAGGGAACCTCGTTTACTCCAGCCAGTCAAAATATAGTCGAACTGGACTTCTAGGGTATACCTGGACCATCCGACCATCTGGGCGTCGAATGGAGAATCCCGATGAAGTAGTCGTGCAGGGTAGTCCAGGCAGGACACCCAGATGGTTGGAGGGTCCTAGGGTGCCAAAGGGTGTGGCTGCTAGTGGGCTCCCAAAGCTGGAAGCTGCTGAGGTCTCCTGAGGTCTGGTCCAAACACACCTGGAGAAAGGACGGACAACTCATCGCTGCTACGCTGCGGTTCTTTTGGGTCTTGAGTCTGGCAACAAACAGATCACAGGAGGCCTGAAGAAGAACACCCTGCGTGTCTCAGTGGCGGTGGAGTGGCGGTCACACTGAGTGTAAGGTACATCATCGAACTCAACCGACCCAGCGAAGTCAGGAGCCCCGGCACCAGCCAGGGATGTTCATTCTCTTCACATTCCACGCACCCTGCGGCGAAACCCGCCCAAAAACGCGGGAACGGTTTGCGAAACAGGGATTGGGAGGTTGGGAGAAGAAATTGGCTCCGCAAGGCGATGTCCACATCTAGTCTGTAATGTGCAACATCCAGTGGTCAAATTTAGCTTGGTTTGAAGGGAAAGATCTACAGAAGACCATGGTTTCCACCCCCAAAACGAGTTTCTGGACAAGACGGCCTTCCCTTGAACCAATGCTCAATGGGGTCACCACACCCAAAAACTGGTCACCCTGGTGGGCGACCAGGTATCTACTACAGTGACGGGTGCGGGTGACCATGGGTTGAATAGCCCAACTAGCCCGAAGCATTGATGTTTGTTCTTATCATTTTTACATATAAATATAGAAATCAAAACCAGGTCAACTGAACTCCTTCGTCAACTGTTTTTGCTTCTTTCTCGGTTTCAGCGACTTCGAGGGCAAAGGACACCTTTGTGAAGCCGCAACCAAACGGGCAAATTGAGCTTTCAAACACCTGTCTCAGTAGGGTGCACCTACTGCCTAAGCCTTCGCTGGCAGGGCGATCGGTTGGGCTTCGTTTCTTGCCCATCGAACGCCCCTTCCCATGTCCGTTCCGCCTGAGACTGGCACGAACTGGTCTGAATACTGAAGCGTGGCCAAGGCAAAGGTCAATAAGAGAGTGTGCACCACCAGCAAGGTGTCCTCAGTCTCATGTGCTTTGTGAGGCTTTGGGAAGTTCGGTTTGGGGGTTCGTTCTTTTGCTCTGCCCTTTGAGCAATTTCCTCTCCAAGACTCACTTGGTTGCACATCCATTTTGCAGTCTAAGCGTAGTCCAACCTTTCATAACAATCGGCCGTGCACTTGAAACAGCACTGAGCAGAACTCCACCGTGGCATCAGTTGCAAAAGCGAGTCCCGAGCGCCAGCTCCAAACTGTTTGGAATGGACCATATACCCAAACGCGACCCTGGACCCTCATAATGATGGAGGGGTCGGATCCGAATCCTCCGGAGGGGTCTGGGGTGGAACCACCAATCCCCATCGATGTTGGTTCGGGACCGGGAAAGGGCTGTGAACCGAACGTCTGGGTACCTCCGGTTTGACCAAGCTGCAAAGCGAGCAAATGGCGGGGTGTCGACTTCGGTATTGTCGAACTCGTTCACCACTGGAAGCCGTGGGAAGGTGGTTTCAACGAAACCGAACGACCATTATAAGTCAGCGGGTTAAATCATCCCAACTAAAGGTTGAACATATAGAAATATCTGAAACCACCACCAGCATCACCACCCAAATGGTCTTCATGACTTCCTGGCCTTCCCGTTCGAGGTTGCAGGCGCTGATTTCATCGCTGTGGGGAAAGGTGAATGTCTGTCGGGCTTCTCACCCAAGTTTCTGGTCATTTTGTACCTCTTCACACCATCAATCTGCCATTGGCCTGTCATAGACCAGCTGTCTCCTGGATCTTCACATGAGTCAATCTGCCCTTTTTTCCGCAACCCTTCCCCCCTTCCCCCCCACAGAAACCCTTCCTCCCCTCTCCGGATCCGTCCCTCCGGTCGCTTCCGTCTTCCGCTTCTTCCCAAGCGTCGATGCGAGAGGCATAGGTCTGGTGATGGTCCCGCACGTCCTCCTTCACCGCATTGAGCAGATCGATCCTGGAGAGGCGACCGACATCCTACGGATGCACGACGATGATGCGCGGTCTGGTGCGGTGTTCCGTGGTGCGTGCACCTCTCAGAGTTCTTCTTTTCATTGCCATGGACGTCTGGGAGTTGGGGGTAGGTGCCGTTTGGAGCGGGTGGGCTTCGGAAAGAGCTAGCTGGGCACATTGAGGTTGATGGTGCAAATCGAGTGTTTCAAGATCAGTTTGTGGTGAGGATTGTCATTTCGTGCAGAATCGTATCCTTTGCGGGCAGAACTGCCTTGACGTTCAAACTGAAGGGTGTCACCCGAAAAACGGGCGAATGCAATTCACCATGCTTCCTCAGCATGTGAATACGTCCCCACATGGCATCGAATTGTGGACAATTTGGTCTCAAACTTAGCAGATCGTGCTGTTCTGTTGCAATTTTCTTTGCAGAATGAATTCCCTATAGCCTTCAGTTCGACCATTGAAAAATGCTTGACCTGGTGGTGTAGTGCAAAAATTCCTGGGTAAAACATGCTTCTCAACGACCACCTCCTCTTCATCTTCGACAACCTCCTCTCCTCTTCGTCCCGCCTCGACTTCCCCGCCCCGTGCGGAGACGGAGACCGGTCTCCGCCGGTCTCTGCGCGCCTGAGGGCCCGGGAGTCCAAGCAGTAAGCCCGTCGCGCCCATTGCATCTGCTCACGTTGAAAGGCCTCGCGACCCGACGCCGCGGTACGACGCGACGCGGCGCGGCTCGAACGGAAGCATGTCGGGCATCGCGGCTCGAGTCCGGAGCGAAAAAGGACGCGAACCGAACGGGGCGCTCCTGGCCATACTCATTTTCATTTCATTCTGCACCGTCTGGAAGTCGTGTAACTTATGGTAGAAAGCAGCCAGCTCTGTACGCGCACGGCCAAAAGCTAAATTTCGGATCCCAAGCCTCAGGAGGTATGATGTCGTCTCAACCGACGCAAGGGAATCCGAGACACAGACTGAAAAACCCCTCCCTCACGGAAAACCGGAAGCGGCTTCAGCCTGGTTCTATGCAAACCGCCCTTCTCTTGCGGCCCATGGTAGGGCCGCCTACCTGGTGAGGAGGCAAAAAGAAGCCGGGCACGCTGTACTGCCACACCTAAATTGTGCAACTGCACCAACTCGCGTCCGACCCTCTCAGACAGCAGCAGCTCCAAAAGCCATGCTCTCTGGCCTGCCACCAACTCCTCTTGCTGCAGGCGCAAATAGGCTATGCCGAGAAGCGCACCCTGTGGGAAATCACTCCACTCACGAAGGAAGCCACCACTACTCAAGCCTGCATCTCTGCCCACATAGAATCTCGAAGGTGGTCATCAGGACGGAAATCAAGACCAGACTTCTGCAAAGATTCTTCCAAGGTCAGAAACTCTTCCTCAGCCCACTGAACATCAGACGGCAAAGTGCCAAACGCCCGTGGGCCGCACAGGGACAAAGCCTCCTGTCTGACAATCCCTGGTGTTTCCGAGAAATTGTCTTCAGGCAGATCTGTCCTCTCTGCTTCAAGGCATCCAAATTCATGAAGCCAGGCTGCACACACATTGATCTTCCCACGGCGTGGAACGTACCGGAGGTGCAAATTCAGCCTGTTGCGTGTCCAGTAATGGCGTAAGCACACCACACATGTGTTTCCGTGAATGTAGCCGGCCTCAGTAGTCCACCATCCATGCAGCTTGACCTTGTGCAGGCGTAAGGCGCGCTCATTGGCAAAGGTCTGTCCGCACTCACAGCGACAACGAGCTTGGAGCCAAAGATCCAGGAGAGTATCGTGCTCTCCACCTCGATGGGACTCCTCAGGAGGAAGTTGCCCCAAAAGACAAACATGTTTCTGACCTGCTTGACGTATGAGGTGCTTCCAACCAGGCTGTCCATTGCGCCAGGATGTCCTTAGATCATGAAAAGTAGACCCCCATCCATGCATAGGCATCACCGAACGGAGCCACTCCAGGTCGTCCTCAACTTCAGACATCCAGCTACGTGGCAATTCTTCATATTCATGTTGGAGCTCCTGCCAAAGAAAGTCAGGAGCAGCACGAGCAATCCGTGCACCAAGCAAGAATCTTTGCTGGGCCAAGCGCACCAGAAGTGGAACGCACTGAGCTCGTTGCAGCAAAGCTGCATCATTCAGCACAGACACTCCTGGACGTTTCACCTGCCCCATAGTTCGACGGAGAAGGCCCACATAGCACACTTGTAGCCGTCGAACGTCCGCTTCGAGAAGGCCACTCCATGCTCCAGACCCAAAAAGCAACTTGGTAAAGACCAAAGATTCCAGCAGGAACAACCTAGTCTTCTCCTTCAAGGCCCGGTTCAAGAAGATAGGTTGCGCTAACTGCCGGAAAGTACTCCAGGCCTGTCCAACACGTCGCTGAATCTCAACCTTCAATCGGCCAGCTGCAGTAATGGTGGTGCCAAGATGCTTGTAGACTTGACTGACACTCAACTGCACAGGTTGAGCATGAGTGGGTAGAGGAACTTGAAGATGTGGTGTCTGTCGAAGCTCCTCACGGTAGACTCTAGCATCCCTCCCCACATGCGTAATGGTCACCTCTGTCTTCCCGCGACTCATGTTCAAAGTCATACCATGAGCCTGAAAAACAGCAGAGATGTGTTGGAAAGTCTCCACAACCTCTTGCCCTATCTGATCATTGGCACCGGCAATGAGAGGAACTGCCAGATCATCCGCCCAAACAATCTGCATGGCCCGCGTCTGCAAAGCATCCCGGGCTTGAGCTTGTACTGGACGTGCTGCCACATGATCCTCAATTTGACGTACAATTGGGCTCATGAGACTATGGAAGAGTGCATCTGCCAAAGGACTGCCAGGGCGGGATCCTCGCGCTGTGCGCACACCTCTGCCATGGATTGTGGCCCAAGTGAAGCTGTGCAGCTCACGAAGGAGATCACGTAGTGTCCCCATACGCAGTAGCCCTTCATCCTGAACCAGTCTTGTCACTGTGTCCTCATCAAATGATTCCTTAGCAAGAACCCGTTGGAGGGCCTCCAGGTCACGAGGGCCACCAAGTCCTGAGCCTACCACCAGCTCCCTCACCAAAGAATGAAAGGCCGCTCTCAGATCCACATAGATTACAGCACTAGGCATTCCCGCATGGTAAGCTCTTTTCATGAGCGTGCGGATGTACATGCTGCCGTACATGCATTCCTGCTGTCTGAAGCCGCCTAACTGCCCGGGCGGGCTAGTAAGCTGGATATGGTCCATCAATGCGTCTCGAAAAAGCGCATGCGCCCTTCTCACAAGCACACCAAGAAGCATGATGCCGCGAAAGTGGGCAGGTTCACGAGGTGTCATAGTCTTGGGCAACATGTAAAGAACTCCACCTTTCCATTGAATGGGCTCCTCCATGGTGATCATAGAAGCCGCATAGTGAACCCAATCCGAGCCGAGCCCATCTGGTCCTGCCGCCTTACCAGGTTTGGTGCGGCGCATGGATGTCTCAATCTGCGTGAGAGTAGGCAACTCAGCAAAATGCCGCACCCCCTGCTCAATCTTGGGCGGTTGATGCAGGATCTCAGAGTAGAGATCATTGAGAGTCGTAGGGGTCCCCGCCTCGAGATCACAAAGATAAGGTTCCCACAGCTCCCGCATGGACTCTTGCTGCTGAGCACTCCGCAGGGCTTTGCGCTGCTGTGCTTTGGGTAAGTAGCGCTTAACTTGCTGCCAGAGTGCTTTGGACCCATGACCTTCATCTGCATCCTTCCACTTTTGCTTGAGCCCCTCAAAGAAGTCATTGGTGTCCCGCCTGGAGAGAGCAGTAGCCAGGTTGCGCTTTTCTCGAAAAGAAAGGAAGGCCTCACTCCACCCTTTAGCAAGCTGGCGCTCATATGGCGCAATCCATTCCCAATCCAGGTGTTCACAAGGAGCACCCATGCTCATCTTCCAGCCATGAAAACATATCCAAATCTCATGGCGCTTGCGTTGTGCTTGCCATTGTAGCACAGCTTTACGCCAACTGACCTTCTCAAGGATGGCGCTCTTGGTGTCTTCCTGGAAGTAGGTCTTACGATGAAAGCGCTGCCTCCTAGGCACAGTCTTCATGACTCCCTGATGAAACCTCTCTGCAAGCTCATGAGCATCCTGGTGCACATCCAAATGCCAATGGATGGGGGCCATTTGCAAAACGGCTTGGCCCATGAAAGTTTCTCCAACACAGTCATCCAAAGCTTGCAATGGCCGGTTCTTATGAGGCTGACGTAGAGGCGATGCACTTTGAGACAAGTAGCTCGATGATCATGCAAGTGTGAATGAGCTTGTAGTTCAAGATCAACCCAAGCACTGGCATCCCTGTAGTGCCATTCCAAGGGGACCGCAATGTAATCAATCCTGCTTTCAGAGCCGCCAGGGTGAACCCAAGTCGAAGTAGGTCCAAATTGGTGGTGCTCAAAGGTCGCAGGTATCCATTGCTTCCATTGCAAAACATGGTTATGCAGAAGACCACCAGCAAAACTTTCTTCCTCACAAGCGTGCCCTCCAATGCCTGCCGACTGAACAGATCCAAGACGTGCATTCATGTCTCCCAACAAGATCATGTGCTTACCCCTCAAATGACCCGGGATCAGCTGTTGGAGGTCAGTCCAATACTTTTGAATCTCACCATCATCGTTGCCACTGTGCGGGACATGTAGATTGGCAATCAGCACATCAACTGGACCACACCACAGCCGAGTCACCATATACTCGGGGCCGCTGGCCACTACAGTCCAATGTTGCTCAAGGAGATGTACTCGATGACCATGGGCATCATAGATCTTAAAGAGATCAGGATGCAAAGCCAAAAGCATTCCTCCTTGCCCCTTGTGTGCAGGGTGATTCCGGATCATATACTGCTCGTCATAGAAGGCAAGCTTCTTCAACCTTGTCTCTTGTACGGCAAGCAGAGCAACATTCTTTCGGCAACACGATTGTAGGAAAGCAGACACAGCAGCATAAGTGGAGATGTGATGCTGCTTGAAGGTCATGACATTGCAGGACACAAACAAACCATCAATACCGGCAGGCATGGGCTCCTCAAGTTTCTCTTCCCAAGTAGAGAGAGCCGTAGCGACTTGCGCATCCCATTCTTTGACCGGTGATGGCAGTTGTAGTGTAGTTCCATGCCAATAGGGACGGAGGTCCTGCCGATACAAGAGCCAAAAGGATTGAACCCACAAGCTGGGTAATGTCATCTCATCCCGAAAGGCCTGCCAAAAAGCATCTGCATGGAAGGCGTTCACACTGGCGTGTTTTGCAAGCACGTCAGCTGCCGGGGTCACCAGCATGCGCCTTCGTATAGATGGCTTCAATTGGAACTCCATGCGCAGTTTGACACATCTGCATCAGGGCACATGCCTTTTGGCAAAGAGGGTCAACACTGGAGTATCGTCCAAAGACTACTCCTGCAGGAGCATCAGCATCAAAGCAGAACTGGATCTCCGGCGGGTGCTGCCAGCGTTTGCCAATTGTTCTCAAAATGTCGTGTGTCCATTTGAGCGCAAGAACGTGCGCCATAACTTCAGCATGGTAAGCATCCGTGGCCTGGTCCAAGTTGTGTTGGAGAGCACCAGCCCAGTGCCAGCTGTCCGTCCAGCACCAAAGCGAGACAGCAGCGCCAGTGGCAGAGCCGTCAGCTGAGCCATCAAGGTAAAAACACAGGACCTGAGCTTCATCCAGTTGCCAATGTGGTAGATCCAGCCAGGGTTTGGTATTCTCATGCCATCTCATGTTCACATTAAATGACGGCTGCACCATGAACGTGTTGAACCAGTCCAGAGCCTCATGGACTTCCCCAAAGCAGATGCCGTCAGCACAGGCCTCATGTGTGGTGGCTGGACAGTAACGTTCAGAGAGATGGTCAGCGAGAGAGATCTGCACAGGGAGCAAACTCGTGTCATGACAAACCGGCAAAGCCGCAGGGCTCTGTGCAGCGCTCTCATTCTCCTCCGTCTCACCTTGATCCTGCCAATCATCATCTTGAAGCCAGTCTTTGTTGTCACTGAAGGAGGTTGTGCGCAAACGGTGGCAAATCCCCTGAACAAAGGGATTTGTCAGACCGAGCAAGTGCAACCGATCCAGTAGGCCATCAACAGGAGGGTTATCCAGAGAGTGGTCCAGTCGAAATTCAAGTACCCCTTGCTCATCGGTCAGCTCGACGGTGGCATTGAAGTGGACGATCTTTCCATTCCCTGGTGGTGGTAACCGAGCCGCTGCAGCACTTGCAAAAGTTGGTCCTCCACGGTGTGCTCGAAGGGGACGGACAAAGTGTTGCAACAAGGAATTCTCACTGTCGTCACTGCAATCAGAGTCAGAATCCTTAGTGGCCACCACACTGTAGAAGCCTTCAGTGCTCCTGAAGTCATCTGAGCTGGCAGAAGAGCCAGCTGGGCATTGCCGCTGCCTTTTCATTTCACGAATATCATCCGGGTCAAGCACCTTCACAACAATATAGTCACTCTCCATCACTTCAAATGGATCATCATGGACCAAATGCCCATTCCGTAGAAGGAGAGGTGGATCTTCTGTTGCTGCCAATTGCGCAGGTGTGAACCATTTTGTGAAGAAGAGCTCTTTGGTCACCAGGCGAGGAACCTGTAAAACACGCACATGTGTAGCAAGCTCCCGGGAGTACCTGGCGTGCTCGAACTCAACAATCACATGGTACAAATCCTGTACTTCAGAGGCCACATAGAAGACCTCAATCAAGTCCCCAAGAAGTGCAGAGGAGCGGTAAGATCGATGTGTCTGATCCAAATGCCAGTGGGGATGATGGACCAGAAAAGGCCACCGGATCTTTGCCCATGAAGCCAACCACAAATAATAATGGTAGATCTCCAAGTGCAGGTGGGCAAAAAGCGTCCGCTCATAGATTCCCTCACCGGCAGCGACCAAAATAGGAATGAACAAAACGTCACATTCAGACAACCGCAGTAGGATCAGCCGGCGTAATTTCCTCACCTTAATTTCGGTGTCAGCAGTGTCCAGAAACAACAAGTCAACGGTCAAAGTATTGCCACATCTGGGCTTCAAGAGATTCTCAAACACCCGATCATCACGTGGAAGCGGAAGCAAAGGATCAGCCTCGCTGATTTCAAACGCAACTTGTCCACCAAAGCGGAACAACACTTTAACGTTGAACACTTGACCATTGTAACGGAAACTGAAAGCATCCATTTTTGGAGCATTGACCGCAGGATGTTCCCATGCGTGTTCATCACCATCAACCACGACAGACCACTCTCTGCGACCGTGGTCGTCATTCACAACACACTGAGCACTCGCCTGCATGATCCCAGTCGGTTGTCCGGTCACACGATCAGCTGCATGGTACAAACACCGTATCGTTTTCGCCCGAAGATGTTTCCACCGATCCAAAACCTCAACAAACCCGTGATAACAATCGACCAACACTAGTACTTCGGCCATCACGAACCCGGAACAATCACACTCACGTGCGACATGCTCACAATACCTCAAGTTCGGTCCACGTCTACCACGTCGGGTATAAGAATCTGCATAATGAACACACGTCGTCGGTTCAAGACAATGAGGGAAAGTTTCTGCCTTCCCATGTCGATGCGAATTTCCTCCAACATCACATGTTTTGACATCATCTAAGTCGGCCCACAACATCCTCTCAAAAACATCACGACACAGACGAGCCAAAGCGTGTGGATGATTTCCTTCACGGAGCCGCATTTCAATCATGATGTCCATGGATTCGAAGAAGGATTCGAAGGCGTCCAGCGCCGGACTAGAAGCAGGTCCAAGTACTTGCACCTTCAATTTCCGATGAGACAATGACAACCCATCTCGACCTTTGAACACATTGGAACATGACGTCAACTTCCTCCAAAGGCCACAAGTTTTCAATTTCCCGAGTGAATAGGGAAATCGAATTTTCCTTCGAAAATGATCGTCATCATATCTCACCAAACTTGGAAGTTCATCACGCGCAAAGAATCGTGAGTGAACCCAAGCAATGAATTTCACGCACAGACCCACCAACGCCAGCAAGATACACAATGCCGCAGACAACGTTAAATCATCAATGATCACGACATCGTGAGAAAAAGGAAAAGAAGCATCCACAACAACACGTATCATGGATGATTCGCAACCACGTCTCAAGCATTCACTTGAGCCAAAATGGCTACGGAACCTGGCCGTACTACTAGTAACAAGAAGCTATCAGTAGCAAGAAGCTTGAAGAACCGCCGCGTGAAGAATGGGACGCGCTTCAACGGTGCCTGTGCCCCATGGTACTGCCCTCGAAATGGACATTTGCGGGCATTTTCTGAAGAAAAACAGGTGTGAGGTGGCCCAGGTGGCCAAAATAGATTTTTCTTCGGAACCGTCTTGGCTGCAGTGTCATATTATGCCCCCACTGTGGCGCTGCACCGGCTTGTGCAAGGGAAACAACAACGAGGAACATCAATTTGCTTGGCCTTCTCTTCTCACAATAACAAATTATATACATTTACATCCGATCCATCAAAACTGTCAATTCTGAAGTGCTCACACCCTGGAGCTTCCGGGGTGATCGTCACTAGCTTTCAGGCCTGACGTGGTTAGACGCCGACGCCCGTTTTCCACATGCCAAGTTTGTACCAACCAGATGCCGGTGGTCGCAGAAAACGCCGAAAATAACTCACAGCCACGACTCCCAGATCAAGAAGAGTCTGGACAACAGTTGATCTGCAGTAAATCGTTTGCGATTCGCACCACCTGTACGCCGAAAGCTTGGTTGGCATGTGCGACCCTGCCTCAAAAGAAACCTCGGCTCATGGCTGTCCTTAGGTTTAACCTGTGATGAGTCAGAAATTCAAAGGAGAACTCAAAGGGAAGTACGTGGCTTTTCACCGTCCACCATCCACGTCTGCCGATCAGCGACGTCTCCACACGTCGTCTCGCCACCTGTCCCTGCCCAATCTCCACGAACTGCCCCAAATTCGCCTCGTTCGCGAGTCGACGGTCGTCCGAGCGATGGGCGTCAGGTGTCGGAGGTCGGACGTCGGGCGCCTGCCTGATCGACGCGTCCACTTAGGTGTACTACTTTGGTTCAAGGATTGACGGTTGGAATGAGCGAGTGTGCCTATTTAGTCACTCCAGAATGGAGGAACGGGCAAATTCAACTACTTAATCCCACATCTCCTGGAGATTTTGAGGGCTTTTCCGGCTTTTCCTATTTGTTTTTCGAGGCTCACGTTCATTTATGTCACTTGGCAAGAATAGACCAAACAACAGTGGATTCTTTCTTAGGCTCAACACCCTCGCTTGGCCCGGGAAGGCACCGAAGGAGTGGCGTACGCACCGAAGGCGTACTGAACACCAATTGGATCCCCTTTAGGTGAACATCAACCACTTCCCCTTTTGGTCAATTCTGAGTTTTCAGACCCTCCGGCGGAACTGATCCGTCGTCGCTGGACGTCCGTGGTGATCACGAGGCCGAATCCGACCATCTAAACCAAAGAGTCCCATCCGCCCAAGCCATCCAACACAAACCATCAACCTGGAGCCGACTGACCGACTTAGAAAATGGGACATGACCCTTATTAAACCAAAAAACACATTTAAAAACAGGTACCCATTTTCCGGGGTACGAACTGAGACTCCATTAAAGCTTCACTCCCCTTTTCAAAGTCCGTCTTGATTGTTGTCCAAACAACCTTGAGGGGATCCGGTGACCACTACAGCTGGGAGTCCTAGTGGCTTCAATTCGACAAAAATTATAGACTGAACAACCCTGGTTCCGTATAAGTGGGATCCACTGGGAGACATGTAAAGCTCCTTCATTTGGAGGCCTCTGCAAGAAAAGAAACCGCTTTCCTTGTCTACACGGTGATCTCTCTCTCTCTCTCTTTCTCTCTCTCTTTCTCTTTCTCTCTCTCCATCTCAACACCATCCCGAGGTTCCGGGTACAGATCGATATCTTTTCTTTGAAACACGCCCATGTAAACCTGGCATGTCAACGACCGTGCCGTCCACGGGCAGAGCAAGAACGGCATATTCGCACTTCGATAGCTTTTGGAGCTTGAGCTGTTGAAGTGTCATAAATGAATTGGCACAGTTGAACACCACGTTCTCGTATTTCTGCTGATTCTGCATCTATTGATCATTACCGAGGCGCCAAATGGCCGATGCCATTCAAAAGAGTCGCTCCAGCCACGAGAGACATGGCTCCTGCCGCAGGGTGTTGCTTTTGATCGTGACTGAAGTGTTTGTTATATATATACACACAACACCTGCAACTGTCCTCTCAACATACTGCCAGGTCTTGATGAAAGAGTGCTGTTTTTCTGTTTCTCTTTTCTGCCTGACTCGGGCGACCTAGTTGGCCGGTCCCCGGACATCCGCTTCGGCCGGTGGACCGCCATCACGGATCACGCGGGTCCGAAGAGTCACGATCGCCACTGCGCTGCTTTGATCGCTGCGAACATGGGCAAAGTACTTGATAACCTGGTTGGTTCAGTCACAAACAAGCCTCCTGTTTGGGTCACGACAAGGAACGTTCCTTTGGTCACTTTGAAGAAGCTGGGACACCATTTTTCTCGGATTTCTTCTCGTGTTCTAACCGTTAACCAGCAGGCTCTCTTGTTTCTCTTCCATCTTCCTCCCTTCATCCCTACCACTGCCTTCCCTGCCTCAGCCCGTCCAGTTTGCGTGAAACTCTGCGGTCCTCACCCGTCACCTCCAGTTCTTTGCTGGTGTTCGCGGGTGAAGCGTCGCGCCTGAACCGACCGGCTGGGTGGACTGTCGCGACGCGGCGCCGGCCTCGGGCCTTGCGGTGGTGGAGATGCAGGTCTTTTCGGGGCACTTGGATGTGGTGCGATGGTAGCCAAAGCATTCAATGGGACTTGGATCTTTACCTGTACCGACTATTGGTGGTCGAAAAAGGGATCTATGTAGATCAATCTTCCAGTTCCATGGTATGCTCTATGAACCTTGCCGGCCATCTCTGGGGTCCGAGTTTTAGTTGGGATCAGTTCAACCGTCCCTTGCGCTTGGGACTTCCCAGTGTGAGAGCATCATGATGTGTTCAAGCAATTTGGGTAAACAGATTCCAGCTTTCTGCAACAACGCAGTGACTGATACTGTGTTTTGGCCCTCCAACCATGATCGACTGGTGGACAAGTCTTGCTACGGATAGTGCTTCTGATCTTCTCCCGACCAGGAACAAAGCGAAAAAAAGCTCGAACCCTTCCTCACAAAGCACCTCCGCTAAGCGTCACTGATGGCGCGCCGCACCCCCTACCCTTTTCCTGAGGGCGCTCGTGCCGGTAAAGGGCAGCTGGCATTCGACCAACTGACATGTGAACCTTCAAACATGGAAGTGCGTGAACACTCCCCCTTCGTGCAGCCGCTTGGCTGTTGCGATTCAAAATCGCGAGCTTCTGCGAGCTCGCTTCCAGCTCAACCTGCCCTTTGACTTTCCAGGGTGGCACACTGCGAGCATGGAGTGTACCGCAAGACTTCACCTCGGTCCAGCTTGGAGCATGCCCTGTTGATGTGGGCATAGCCACCCCAGTAGTTCGTCCAGAGGTTCCAATCTCTGGAGATCACCATGTTCTTCTTGCACTCCGGACACCATCTGGAGCGACGGACTTCTCCTGTCCGTGGTGCCCGGATGTACCCACATTCCATTGACCCATGGTGGGCCCTTCCGAACCTCGTCGTGAGGACGACAGGATCTTCTTCATCTCCTGCCGAAGGTGTTGGTCCGGCTGGACTTCTCTTTGGAGCCGCTTGGCCCCTTCCCCCTCCTTGTGCTCTAGCTGGTGTTGTGGCTGCGGATGCCGGATCGGATGATGATGCGGCACCTCTTGACCTTTCTTTTTCTTCCTCCTCCCTTCTCTTTTTCTCTTCTTCTTTCTCCTTCTTTCGCTCCACCTCTTGGCCCCTTGAGCTCACCTGGCCTCGAGGCTGTGGCGATGGAGACGGTCTTCCCCAGATCGTGACTTGAGTCACTGGAGACTGGGTGAAGTGTGTGGAAAGGTGAGCTTGGCCTGGAGACTGAGTTGGAGTGTGAAGCCATTCGGATGCCGACTGTCGTGGCGTCCTTGGAGCAAGAGGCACTGGAGACTGAGTTGGCGAAGGAAGGTGAGCCGGCCTTTTCATTTCTTCTTCTTCATCTTCACTTTCTTCCTTTCTTCTCATCGTTCTTAGCTTCACGGTGCTCCCCTGTGGTGGTCTGGGAAGACTTCGCACTGTCTGCTCGTCATCACTTCGTGATCGGCTTGACTGTGGTACTCCTTCCTTCAGACATAACCACAGGGCGCCCAGGATGGCCACAATGAAGAACATCAATGCCATCCATTCCCACCAAGTGAGATCTTCATCTTCTTCATCTTCTTGGCCCTTCGCTTTTGTGAGCATAGCGGCCATCGTGATGAGCCTCAAAATCGTGGCGGCCTTTTGACTTCCTTTCTTTCCTTCTCCACCTCCGGCTTGAGTCTCCGGATCCTCCTCTTCTTGTGCTTCCTCCTTCAGCTCCTTTAGCTCCTGACCTTTTTTATCTTTTCTCTTCAGATCTTCTTCTTCTTCCTCTGCAGCCACCCTCAGGAGTGTGCCCATGTTCATCTTCTTCTTGAGCTGCTCCAGTCGCGGTGCTGACAGTGGTTTCGTTCCAACATCTGCAATCATCTCTTCTCCTGGGATGTGGTTCAGACTCCACCATCCATCCAAGATCACCTGTCTGGCGTATGCCGACTTCATCCTCAGGTGTCTGGTTCTCCAGTTCCCACCCTCTGTGGTGAGGATGATGAGTCCGGACTTGCTGTCAGTCCAGGCCATGCGAGTGGTTGGCCCGAAGATTTCATCGATGATCACACCAATGGACTCACCGGCTGTCATGCCTTCAACAACTTCATTCAACTCTGCTTCTGCTGTGCTGAGGGTGATGGAGCTTTGGCGGCCAGACCTCCAAAGGATTGGAGTGTTTCCGAGCAAGACCATGCTGCATCCATGTGACTCTTCTGAAGTCGGGGCATAGCTGGCGTCCGTGTAGACGTGGATGATGGCCTGTTCATCGGCCTTTTCCTCAAAAACGAGGCCTTCTTCTTTGGTCCTCCACAGGTACCCTTTGACCTGTTGAGCTGCTTCTTGAATGGCCCTTGTGGCCTTGAGGACATTTGATCCCATTCGTGACACGGTGTACATGAGATCTGGTCTTGTCCGTGTCACCGTCCACAACAACTCTCCCACCACCTTTTGTGCTCCTTTGACTTCAGCAGCTGTGGGTGGTGGATCATCTTCTTCCATGACCGACTGGTCCTTCGTTATCGGGATCTTTCTCGGCTTCGGCACCTCAGACTCCTGCTCCAAGAGATCGGTGATGAACGACTGTTGAGTCACCAGCCAGCGATCCCTTTGGGTCTCTTGATTGACCTGCTTCATGATCTCAATGCCCAGGAATTTCGTCGGCTTCTCACTGATCCTCTCTGGAGTCGAGGTCGTCCACGTTGACCTAATCTTTTCTTCCACTGCTTGGAGAATTCGGCTTGGTGCAGTGATGAAGATGTCATCCACATAGGTCATCAGGAGTCCTTGGAGTTGGCTCCCTTCTTCATCATCATCATCCTTCTGCACTATTCGCCACAAATTCGGCTCGGACTCCATAGCAGTCAGCTGCACTTGACTGATCTTTCCAGCTTCATTGGGGATGTCAATCTCGAGCGATTGCAGCGTCTTGTCCCTGTGCTCTCCCCACAACCGAGGCGAGCGTCTAAAGCCATAGACGGCTTTCTTTGGAAGGTAGTAGGTGTCCTTGTCAAGGAAGCCTCTGTCCACAAAGAAAGATGGTGGACACACCAAGAGCAACTGTTGATCTTCTTTCTGTTCCATCTCGGCATTCAAGAAGGCGGTCTTGACGTCCAGGACACTTCCTTCCCATTGATGGACTGAAGCAACCCAAATCATGATGCGAAGGGCAGCAGAGTCAGCCCCACCTGAGAAGTTGTCTTCATTGGGATCCTTGCTTTCGAAGTTGCCGCAGACTACCCAGCGGACCTTCTTCTTTCCTCCTTTCTTCCCAGGCTTTCTTGTGAACACGAGCTTGGATGGGATCAACTCTATTCGAAGCCCCCTCTTTTCAGCATCTTCGATGAGTTCCTTCATTTCTTTCTTGGGAATCGGCTGCAAGGCCAGCTTTTCTTCGACGAGTGAGATGACTTCTTCACCTGCTGCTGGCTTCCATGCTTCCCAGTTCTGAGCCACCTCCTTGGCTGACACGATCCTTGTTTGTAGCACCTCTTCTTCTTCCACCTCTGCAGCCACCATAGATCTCCTGAGGCAAGCAATCAACTGAGCATTGATGACCGCCAGTTGAGGTGAATCCTCCATTGACAAGAGGGCTTCTTCTTCTAGGACCTTTCGCATCCTTCTCTTCGCTTCTTCTTCCTTCTCCTCAACCTCCCCCTGTTCCTTCTGGGTCTTTTTGACTGCGGTCTTCCCTCGGATCCTCCTCCTGAGAGATAGCCCATCCAAAAGTTCCTTTTCCAGGGCGATCCAATGTCCCTCTGTTGGTGGATCTTCCAACCTCCTCATATAGCATCTTGTGAGCCTTGGTCTTTCATCGTCCCTCACAATCCAGTGTCCGTGGTTCTCAGGGGACGGACAGAGGTACCTCGCCCGTTCACTTGTTGGGCCCAGGTCATCACGCTTCCATCTCCTTCTCCTTACCATAACCTCCGTCAGGAAGGGCGGGAAGTTGGGAACTTGGTAGAGCCTTTTCGCTCTGAGAACCTCGTTGCAGTGCCTTAGAGCCCATGGCCACCACTTCGAAGTTTCTTTGGCCTGGTGTAAGGCCTTCCACACCATCGACTTCAGTGCTTTTACTGCTGCCTCTGCACGTCCGTTGGACTGGGGTTCGTCCCCTGCAGTTTTGGTTAGGATGATTCCCCGCCGCCTTGTCCAGCCATGGAAATGGCCTGCATATTCATGGCCTTGATCAGTGTGTATCTGAGCGACGGAGTATCCGTCCATCCTCAATCTCAGCAGCATGTCCATTGTCGTCCTTGTGATTTCTTTGGCCTTCTTTGAATGCATAGGCAATGCTAACCTGAAGGTCTCGATCTTGAAGTCCTTTGGTGGCTTTTCTTCTGCTTTTCCAAGTTCATCATCTCTTTCTTCTTCATCTCGATGAATCTGTTCCAACAGATCTTCACCTGCTTCTTCTTCAGCGTCGGTGAGGCCATGTAGGACTTCATCTCCTTCCTCCACCTCAGCCTTATCTTCTCCTTCTTCATCGTCCTTTGAATCTTCTTCAATTGGCGGCCATTCTTCTTGACCTTCTTCAGACAGCTGTTCCTCCCCCTGTCCCTTGACATCCACCGTGCATGGAACCGCCCAAGTGAGTGTCCCTGCTAGGAAGTATCTTGACTGGAATCCTCCTAGATCATAGGCGGGCTTCAACGGGCCAGCCGTGTCGAGGGAGAGAACTCCAGCAAGCTTGTGTTGAACTTGGCGATGGGGTGAACACTGTTGTCTCGCTTCTTGGCAGATTCTGCAGTCTCTCCTGCTTGGTGTATGGCCCAGGGCAATGTGTTCAGACCACGAAAGAACACATGCTTTGGCCTTTTTCTTCATCACTTGGGTCATCACTGCTTCTGCCAACATAGTCATCATCCCCGGAGGCCACCGTGCCAGTTCCCAGGATCCTCGAACCAGAGCATGGCTGACAGTCTTGGTGGAAAATTCCTCAGGGATCAGCTCAAGGGTTCCAGCGACTGTTGTTGGCTTCTTTGCAGCACCACCGAGCGGCTTCTGGAAGAACGTGACCTCCTTCCACCCAAATTCCTTTTGAAGATCTTTCCATTCAGCAGTGTCCCAGAACGACACCACTTCAGGGTTGTAGTCCTTCGGGCTAGCTGGCTGCTCAATGCCAAAGCCCATGACTTCAGTTTCTTCTCTTGCCTTCTTGAGGGAGCTGTCGAGCATGGCCAGGAAGATCATCCTCCAAAGCAAAACATCATCTTCAAACAGCTTGCGGCGCTCATCACTTGAAGCATCCTTCACCACAAATTCTTCGCCGCCCCACTTTCGGATGGGTCTTGCAGTGGTCCAATCGACCTGCTTGTGCCTCATGACACTTCGTGTCCTGCAGTTTGGGCCTCCTAGCAAGGCAAGAAGCTTCCCTTCCCACACGGACCTCACTAGTCCCGCATAGGGTCCTCGGTCCAGGAGCATGTCATGGCCTGGGCCTCTTTTGATGTCCACCTCCAGGAGCTCTCGTTCTTCACCTCCTTTCTGCTTCCAGGCTCTTTCAAAGGTGAATCCTTCGTCAGCTCCTGCGTACAAGTGGCACACATAGCCATCTCGTTTCATGGCCTTTCGCTTTCTTCTGTTGGCTGGGAGATCTGACCATTCACCCGGCTTGACCACCAGCGATTCTTTCACTTCCTTGGGGAGTCTGCTCAAGACGGGATGGGCGTTCACATAGTCTTCCATCCACTTGATCTCCCATTCAAAATCATTCTCCTCCTTCAACTTCATTCCTTTCTTCACCTTCTCGAGCTCCTCAATGAGGTCCAGGGCCACTTGTCGTGGCAGCTGAGGGCATCCATCTTGATCTTCAACAGGCAGCTCTCCTCGCAAGGGGTGGACTACCCTGAGTTGACTTCTTGACCAAATCACGGAACATCCCAGCTTTTCAGTCAGGAGCCCCATTGGGATGATCGGCTCGATGTCGGCGTCAGCTGAGACCATGGCTCCCTCTGGAGAGATAGGGAGACTGGTGACTTGTCCATCTGCTAGGGCTACCTGAACCCTCTTGTAACTTTCAACATCTTCACCTTTCTTCACAGGTCGAAGTGGATGAGTGGCTCCAGAGTCAAGAAGACCTTGTCGTTCACCTTTCTTGAGTCGCCTCAGTTTGAAGGTCTTCTGCTTCAAGGCGTTGAGCTGCTGCTGGAGACGTTCCACCACTTCGGATCTTTCTGACGTATCCCCACCTTTTGATGATGGAGACGTATTGGAGGAACTTGGACTTGGTCCTCCATTCATGCCCTTCAGCATGTCATTGGCTTCCTTCAGCAACTCCTTTATGGAGGGCTGTACTTCTTCACCTTCCTCATCTTCACTCTTGTTCTTTCCGACCTTCTCCTTCTCTGCCTTCGAGATCTTGGGCCGGGGCGAACCTTCTTTGGCTTCCTTTGGCCTTGTGCAGGCCGGCGCGAAATGCTCTGGTGATCCGCAAATCCAGCACCGCTTCTTTTCATCCTTCTGTTCGTGTGAGAACGTGCACGACTTTCCCCTCCTGCATCCTTGGTCAGAGAGGTAGAACCTGCACTTTGGCTTTTCTTTCTCTTCGCCTTCTTTTCTTGTTCTTCCTTCTCTGGAATCCTTGGGCTGCTCTTCAAACTTCTTCATCTTTGGTGCTTCCCCACTTGAGTCCTTCTTTCGTGCTTGGTGACCCATTTGTTCCAATTCTGCTAACAAATGCTCACTGTACTTGGACACAGACTCGTGGGTTGGAACAGCATCAACCATCAAGGAGCTTCGGACCAGTTGAAGTCGGAAGTTCAGCTCGGGGAACATCGTGATGAGCTTCTTCATAAGGCGTCCAAGACCCCTAGCCAAAATGGTCGGGTCTGGAATTGAAACTCCCACCTCCTCTGCTCTTCGCTTCCACCTCAACCATCTTCGAAGTGTGACGATGCCCTGGCCGACGGTCGAAGCTTCTGCAGGGCTTTCCAAGGCAGCCAAGATTGCTTGTCGTTCGGCCAGTCCTCCTGGCTGATAGGCGATCATGCCTTTCACCAAAATTCCAAAGGCCGTCAAACTCTTCGATGACACAACCTCTTCTCTCAAGGCCTCTGGGACAGCGCTCAGCAGCAATGCAGTTGCTCGCTTCTCCAAGCGGGACCACTTCCTCATCGAAAGCTTGGTGCTTGGTGCGATCTGGTGTGTGAGCCTGTCCAAGGGAGATTTCACAAGGTGCTTCTGGTACCATTGGCGGGCCTCTTCTAAGGTCAAAGTCCACCATTCCTCTGAACTGGGTGTGAGGTCAGCCATCAGAGGAGCTAAGAGCAAAAGCCAGTCCGAGAAGTCAATCGGGGCTGACTCTCCATTCCACTCTGCCAGCTTTGGCAGGTCCACACTGTGTCGCACCGTCTCCGGGTCTTGGTCTTGACCTGTAGAGCCACCTTGCGACATCCGATCTTGAATCTTCTGCATCCCCTCAACAACCTTCAAGATCACATTGAGGGTCTGTTGATGCACTGAATCATCTTCTAGGGAACTTTCTTTCTTTTTCGCTCCCCTTCCTTTTCCCGTGGCCTCCCGGCCTGCTTCTTTGCCATCACCTTCACGAGGTCGATCTTCTGGCGCTTCTTCTGCTCCTGTCTTCGTTTTTCCTCGGCCTCCAGCATGTTCATCGCATCCGGAGCTGCCATTTGGCGTTGCAAAAACAGGATCATCTTCTTTCGAGGTCGGCTGAACCCATGACAGCCTTCTGACTTCCTGGTGGAGTCTTTGATTCTCCTCCAGAAGGTGGCTGATTCGTCGATCGGCCATGGTCGGACCGCCCATTGGCCCTTTTGGTTTTGCCTGCATCTCAGCTCGCAAAGCATTGTTCTCGCTGAGGAGCTGCTGCATCTGGATCATCATTTCTTCCTTCTCCTGACGCTCGAACTCCATTCGTTCATGGACCCGCAACATCAAGTTTTCTTTTTCTTCATCATCCCTTCTTCCACCCTTTCCTTTCCACACTTCTTGCTCGAGGAAGGCTGGTCTGTCGAGGATGGAGTGCATTGGGGTGTCGTACATTGGTGTACCGACTTTGGCATAAAGCCATGGTGCCTGTTGTTGAACTCGATGCAAATCATCAAGCTGGGCTGGCGTGAACAACGGTGGTGTGCAAATGGAGTGCTGTTCGGGGACTTCACTTTCTTCGGGGATCCCACCAACACCACCTCCCTTCACACTTCCTTTTCCATCTTCACCCTGCTGGTCCTGGATGGCTTTCGGTCCCAACACCTGCGGGGTCCTCATGTGAGCTTCTTCTTCTTTCTTTGGCTTTCCTGGACTCGGAGCTTCAGTCTTTGGCCTCGGGGTCGATGAAGTCGCGGCTGAGACCTTAGAGTGGCTATCCTCAGTTGACGGGACTGTGAGAGTGGGTGACCTTGTCGAGACCATGTCGGTGGACGTCGCATCCCCACCTGGTGGTCCTTTTCCACCCTGTGACCCTTCGGCCACCCCGTCCTCGAGAGGTAGCTCACCTCTCTTCTTCCCTTCTTTCTTCATTCTGGCCTCGGCGGCCTTCATCTCCCTCTGACCTTGTGCCAGCTCTTCGGCAGTCGCTTGCCGCCTTCGATGCTGCATCATCAGCGGATGCTAGGCCCGCTTTGGGCTCATAACCTGATCTTCTCCGGACCAGGAACAAAGCGAAAAAAGCTCGAACCCTTCCTCACAAAGCACCTCCGCTAAGCGTCACTGATGGCGCGCCGCACCCCCTACCCTTTTCCTGAGGGCGCTCGTGCCGGTAAAGGGCAGCTGGCATTCGACCAACTGACATGTGAACCTTCAAACATGGAAGTGCGTGAACAGCTTCAAACTATAACGCCTAAAACAGGAACCCTTCCAAGACTCTTGGCTCTAATCCAGGACGCTAAACAGAACACATGCTGAACGGATCAGGCGATTTCGCCCGAGGTTTTCACCTCATGACCCGTGCCCGTCTGGAGAGTGTGCGACATGTTTCTCAGCCAAACGTGGTGGAAGTCTCCCCAGCTATCCCAGGCAGCAGCCCATCCGTGCCTCTATACGCGTCTCTAAGAGCTGGGCAACCAATGGCGCGGCATGAATTCCCAAGCAAATAAAATATGATTTGTCACCATCTTGACATCTGACAGATCTCCTCCTACCAACACTTCAACATTTCCAAGCAATGCTCTTCACTGAGACCCTGCTTGAGATTCCACTTGGTGATGTTTGTGTTTTTGCAGGTCATCATACTCACGGACAAACCCTGTGGGAGATGGCAAATTGACCAATAAGTTGGGGTGGTTGAAAAGAGGTCAATGTATATATAGGTATCAACATTCCAGTCACACGAAGTTTTTGGGATACTTCCATGGCCGATTTGCATGGCAAACAGCATCACCATGAATCAATCACCCCCAACATGTCCGGATTGGCAAACCTCATGTCCATGTGCTATCAAAACTGTGAATCCTATGTTTTTGATCAGTTCTTTTCGCACATTTCCTTCTTTCAGGATGTGGGATGACCCAGGGGGGCTCAGTGAGTGGTTTCTTCCTCTCCGCTGAAGCAGGGGGCCACGCAGACATCGTGCCACGGTGCATGATACAAATGATGGAGTCACTTGAAAACAAGCAATTTCAACTGCTACATCTCTTCTACTAGGCGTTTAACGATGTTCTGTTTTGATGGCATGACCGTTTCTTTTTTGGACCCATCTGCGATCTTGCTCTTGTCCCACGCTTGGGATATAGCGGAAAACAGCAGCAATTCTCCATGGAAGTCGGTGGTCAAAGCCCGAAGATCTCAACCCCTTGAAGGCGAATTCGCAGCCTGTTCTTCCTAAGCACCTATCCATGCTGCAACATCCTGTTTGAACCTTCATGCCCTTCATCAAGGGATGTCTGAGGGGCGTGCTTGGAGACCTTGATTCAAGGCATTGCTTCCACTGAAGCGTTTGTGGGGACTTTTCCAAGACGTCCATCCCAGGTTGAACACCCTCCATGGGCGAAGCGATGCTTTGAACACCATCGAAACGAGCGGAAGTAGCAACACTCTGCACGGCTCCTGCGGACGACCGTCGGTCGACCGTCGGTCGACGCATGGAGCCCCCTCCGCCGTCGGCCTCACCCGTGAACGGCATCCCGAGAGCGGCATCCCCCAGTCCGGTCACGAACGAGGCCCGGAAGGGGTCCAGCATCGAGGGTCCGGCAGCCCGGTCGTGGGATGGTGTCGGACGAACACCCCCGTTCGCCGAGCTCGGGTCGTGCGGTCGTTCGGTCGTTCGCCGGTCCGGTACCGGGTGTTCGGGTGTTCTAGGTCCAGGTACCGGCCTGAGCACCACCGCAGCGGCGGTCGTTCTACCCACCCAGCTCAGCAACTCCTCTTTTCACGCCGGGCTGCAGAACTTCAAGGCGCATGGCCTTCAGCTGAAGGTGTCCTAGCAGTTCCTGAGCGACAGTTCAACGATTATCGATTTGGGGGTCATTCTTTTTTGCCGGTACCTTCAGCAAATTCAAGATCTCAATGCACCGTGGATGATGGTGGATTCGATTCTCGTCAATCTGTTTCTGAGGATGGACTGGATGCGTCAACTACAGGCTTCTGGATGACAGGCTCGAAAGTCATGTGAGAAGGGGAGAAGCCTCGAACGTGAACGGCGGGAGACACTCCACTATTCCACTACTTCGGCTGATGCACACCTCATGCACATCAACATCGGCATCAAGAAATTGAACACGGTGGTAGAGGGTTTAGGATTCAGCCCATGACTCTGCCCATAGAACCGTATCGACCAACAGCACCACATCTGAAGATTGGAAGATTCTTGGAATGCGCCATTCTTCTGCGCTTCGGGAACACTTTTTCTGCTGGATGGATGGAACAATGACGTTTTTCATGATTTGTGGGTGGGACATATCCTAATACGAACAACTGTGGCCCACAGGACGATTTGAACTACTACAAAGGTACCTAGCACAGTGCATGATGCTTCTGGCTTTGAGTCTTGCATGCCAAGCACATCAATGGTCGTTGGTAGAATTTGATCGCCACATTTCAGCAACTTCTTGATTTTTGGCCAAACAGTGTGGACACACTTAAGGGTTCTTACGGTAAGTGTTAAGCAGCTTACTGTTCGGGGTCCTTGCCGGGATAATTCTGTAGTTAATCGGTCTTGTTGATGTTTTGCGTACGCCACCCGTTGCAGCAGGGCCTCCACCTGCTCGTAGCGCACAGCTGAACCTCTTAGGCCAGGCAGCTTAGCCTGGCCTCCTGGTGGCTCCTCCAAGGCTCCTATTTTCGAAGACCTGGAGCCTTCTGGCAGAAACCTTCTGGCCCGCAAAAACTGATGTTGGAAGCGAAAATCTCTTTCTACTCCAATGACAATGAGAAAACTCAAGCCCTGCTCTCCTCCAAGTTCTTTTATCCTTTAAGAGTTTGATATCTTTATTGAGCAGCGCGCAATGTTTGGATGCCTCTTGACCTCTCAAGTCTTCTCACAGCAATACCCAAATGACAACTCCAACTTTGCCGTCTTCTCATTCTAGCTAGTAGATTTGAACCCCTCCCGTCATCTTCCGAACACAACAACTACCCAGGCCAGTCATCCTCTCCTCTCCTCTCTTTCGTTCTGTCGCCTTCCATCTCTCAGCCGAGCGTCTGGTGCATTCCCCGCACCAGACCGTCCCAGGAGGACATCCCACAGCGCGGCGTCGTTGGCGGCCTCCGCATAGGTGACGACCTACGTGGCACCGTGGCACCGTGGCTCCCCCGCCGCGGCACGGTCCGCACCACGGTGGGTCGTTTCCTCCATCCAACTGGAGCGCTTTCACCTTGGTGTCTTCCAAAGGGACCGGTGAGGGGGCTTTTTGGAAGCATTTGGAGGACTAAACATCCTTGAGATGTGTCACCATCCAGGCCCCTCGGATGAATAGAAGGTCGAGGCCTGCAAACCATGTACCACCAAGGTATACCTTGCATTTAGGGACGGTTCCCCTCTATTGATCAACCAGTGATGGCGGTCAACGTCCATGGACGTTGGTGTGGAGCCGTCAACCGGGTTCCTTCAGAGTGTCAGGTCACGTCCCACGACTTCTGGGGGAAGCTCTGCAAGAGGTCGAAGGCCTGTGCCTCAGCGCGAGCGTTCGCTCGAACGCTCAGAGCTCCAACAGGGGCGGAGTGTCAAGAGCGTCGAGTCGGAGAAAAGGGGCGGAGTGGGCGGAAGGGGGGCTCTCTGTTGAACAAGAACGAGCACTATATATAGTGACAAGAAGCTACTAGGATGGAGGCCATCGCTAGTAGGTTGGAGGCCATTACTTCTAGGAACTTAAGAAGCTACAAAGAATTTGCATGGGGACTTCAAGGGATTTGAGACGTGCCGATCACATTTCGTCAGTCTCTCTAAACATGGCTCAACATCGGTACATCGAGGAGCATCGAAGAAGCACTCGACTGCGGACACACCATGCCTTACGAGCCCAAAGACTGACAATGCCTCGTGTGGGCAGAGCAAGCCTCAAAGCAACCCTGTGGAAACAAGCTCTACAGCCCAAAGACCATCATCAAACAATCATCAAACCATCACGCCCCCCTAGCCTTTTCTTCCCCTGGAAGGACAGCAAGGCAAAAGAGTGACCACGCAGACAGAAACGCGGACAGCGGAGTTTGGACCATCTGGGACCATCTCCGGTCGCGAGTTCCGAACGCGACCAGGTTAGGTCGGACTTGTGGGGTCCATGCCAAACGACCGCATCGATCGTGGACCGCATCTGAGTTTCCAACATAACAGGGTTCTATTCCACCCCCTTTATGGCATATTGAGATATAAATCTATATATAATACTATAGGGAAAAGGGGGGGGTTTGGACGTCAAAGATGCTTTCTCTGCTGTTCAAACACTTCCCCCCTGCGTTCGATCACGAACCGCCGCACGACGCCGACGCACGCCAAGAGGCCCATTGCCGCTGGCGAGCACAAACGCTGAGCAAGGCATTGAAGGTAATCCTAGGAGCACAGGTCGGTTTTCGCTCCGACAACGGGTCCGGCAACAGGTGTGAAGATCCGAAAACGGCAGAGGTCGTGCTCCGGAGGTCAGGTCGGACTGAGCGGCCGAAACCGAAGGCGCTCTCACACTGCTGGTTCGAGCACAGGTCAAGAGGGTGTGGGATCGCGGAGGTCACCTCAGCTTCCCTGTAAATCGAAGTACCTGACAACAGGTGTGTGTGGAAGTAGATCTATGATCTTCTTGCGTATTCTGGTATTCTTTGTCCCATGTATTCTGCCGTGGGCCCAGGCGGTGTACCTGAGATCGAAACCGCGTGGTCTCTCTGCCCCACGAGGCGCAGAGCGGCCAGTTCTCCACGACTCTCATCCAGGACTCTCCGATTTCGCAAGCGAATCGGTCATCAAGCGAATGAGCTTGAGCAGCAAGAACAGCAAGAACATGTCATATCATTGAGATTCATTAAGGTCCTATCATATCCGAAACACATGTTGTTTCTCAGTGAGTCCATGTGTCTCTTCATCAAGCGAATGAGCTTGAGCAACAAGGTTAGGAAGTAGCATATTGAGTAGAAAAGACGGCCGTGTCAGAAAGACTCCGCCTCTCGTGTAGTTCGATGCTTTCTTCCTCTCGTCTGTGGAATCCAGATCGATACGTCTCTGGAACACTCAAACGTCCGACTATGTCGCACTATACCCCTCTTGGGGGGCATGCCGGGTTCCTCCTGCTTGTCGCTCGACTACTATGTCCGACTATGTCCTACTACCCCTTTTGGAAACAACGGGTTTCTCCCTCCTCCCTCAGCTGGACTCCACTCGCCGGAACACGAAGAGCTTTCCAAAGTCATGGCCTCCAGCTCTGCAAACCTCAGACGTTTGGGAACAGGATGGGGCACCTTTCTTTTGAAACCAACAGTGAAGAAGTATCATATATATAGAAGAAAAACAGAAGTGAAGTGACGTGAAGTGAAGTGAAGTGACGTGAGGGATGAACAACTACAACTTGAACAACATTTTCCCAACTACCGGCAAATGGGTCATCGAACCCGAGGCCACATCGACGGGGTGGTCGAAGAAGCAAGACTGCACCAACCTTTCAAACAACGGTCGGCCAGTGAACCCATCTGCTAGGTGCTTTGGTGATTTAAACCATCCAAACATCTCAAAAGTAGCAGTCAATTGGCAGAACCAATCCCAACTGAGGATGGAAGAACCAACAGATTTTCACACACCCACCTTTCTTTGCGATTGGCATTTGTTCTGCTCGTGGCCGGATGTCCAAAACCCATCGTCCAAACCCTCGCGCCAGGGAACAAGGACAAAGCTCGCTTCCATTGACCTCCAGCATGGCAAGCTGCAATGGAGGCATTGTAGGTCATGATGTTCCCTCGATGGGCGGCGCATGGGAACCGCTTGATCAAGCACAACTCTCGTGACGTGACTTCACAGGTACGTGTTCCACTCGTTTCTCTTCTCTTCTCCCATGGCCCGCGATGAAAGTTCCACCATGTTCCACCGTTTCATCCGGATGTGGATCGATCTGCGGATCACCGCCAGACCAAACTTGGTACAAAAAATGCCCTGGGATCCGGGCTTTTGGAGGCTTCGACCCCTGCTATGTCCCAGGTTGCTGGGAAGATGGGCACCATGGCTCCGGGGCGCCCGCGGGCTATAGTGGCTACAAGCGAGCGGCTTCTTGGGCGATTCCAACGTGGTCATCTCGTCCATGTTCGAACAGAAAATCCACTAGAATGTCCTCAACCCAAAAAAACCTCCTACTAACAAGTGCATCGCTACTAATTCTAGTAACAAACAAGTGCATTGCTAACAAGAAGCTACTATATAGTAGCAAAGTGCCTTCCTACTGCAGCAAGAAACAACTATGAGTGGTGAGAGGTGCTGTACCCTTGCCTCTCAGGTGAGCCGCACAGCTACAAGTAGCGACTGCGACCGCCCCGCCCACCCGCTTGTTGCGTGCGTTTCGGTCCAGCCGATCCGGCCATCTGTCTCCGCACCTTGTAGCCGGTCCTTCTGCAAAGTTCTCAAGAGTTCCAAAGCACTCTGCCACTGTTCTCCCCAGTGGCATGCCAAAATCGCCGAGCTGTACGTCACCACGTTGCCTCCATTTCGCCACGACCGAACGTCCCGGGCCACGTGGGAACGGCGCCAGGCACGGCGTGCGGTCTCCATTTCAGGTGCCCAGACGCTCCGTGAGTGCTCCGCCCTTTCCTGGTCCCGAACCAAACTGGGATTGGTTTTCGAAACCCCAGACCCCTGACCCCGAGGATTCGGGTCCAGGGTCGCGGGTCCAGGGTGGAGGCGCATTCGGGAGGCGATTTCGGCGAAACACCGGCGCGTCCGAGATCCTTCGAGCGTCGAACGATAGACCACGGTTACACGGTTTGCTCGGTACGATAAAGTGCATTGGGAAACGTTCTTTAAAAACCTTAAGACTTGGGAACCCCAGGAGGAGCAGCAGTACGTTCCCAATCGAGCCATGTCGAAGTGGCCGAAGGCCGAAGGCTTTGCCACTCGCTCTGGACCTCCTCTCTGCCCTCTGCTGATGTCCACTGTCCAGTTAGTTCCTTCGACTCCTTCGAAGGAACCAGGACAGCCCAGACCTCTCAACCCTGGCGCCGTCGAGAAGGGGCGAAAACGGCCTTGGAGCTCTTGTTCTCGGAGTCGCGTGAGGAGCTGGCACGCCCACTGCCACCTCATCGGTCCCGACTGAAGGCGCCCGAAACGGGGACCGTGGCGGTGGGTCGGAGACTTCGAGCGTTTCAGCAGAGCGCACGCCGCCTTGAAAGATCCGAAAGCGGCATGGCAACATCCTCGTGATCGTCAATAGGACCCGTGAGGTGGGGTGCCGATAGATTGGGATCGTCCGGCTTCAAGAAGCCTCTGAAATTCTTCAGGTTCTCGGATGGAAAGCGAACTTCTGCAACGTCCATGTCCATTCGTGTTGGTGAAACCTCTGAATTTGAGACGAAAGAGTGCCGCATGGAGTCTACTCTCGGTACAACGCACCCCCCCAATGTCCGGGGCAACGAGGACGATCCGGAGGGAAACACCACCGGTGTTGCACGTACGGAAGTTCCTGAACCCTCATCTCCTGCCGTTCAGTATCTCCGATCTTGCTGCCGACTGCCGACCCTGATGGATTCATGTCCCCTTCTCCCAAGCCCTATAGACTATATAGACATCCAAAGACCTTCGAAACACCATGATGTAGCTTTGGATCCCTAAAGCATGTAGAATCACAATTCTTGAGACAGTTGAGTTGTTGGGAAGAGACAATTCTATGTATACTAGGAAGTACTACATCAGGGTCCATAGGGATTTAGTTTCTTGACCCAATTCTATGTTGGGAAGAGACGATTCTATGTATACTTGGAATCTCAATTTCTATGGGAAGAGACAATTCTTCCCACAGTTTGGAGGGTCCCAGCTCCCTACCCAGCTGGAAGCGACTTCTCCCTCACCCCCTGGCTGCTCTCTCCATGCTTCGACGGCCAAGGAACCGATGCGCTTTCTCGCAGGCGCTGATGGCCGCGCTGTAAGTAATCACGTCGAAGAGGCCTTTCCTCAACGAAGAGGTGTAAGACACCGGGAGTCTGGATGGTTTAGTACCATGGTTGAATGGCATACACCAGTGGATAGAACATACATGTATTGTCATCGATCGGTTTACGTCTTTGTTGAATTGAATACACGCATTTCTACCCACTTTGGGATTGTATGATCGTACTAATGAGGATCTGCTCAGCCTGCACTTTCAGGCTCGGCCAACAGCCTACAAATGACGGGGGGGATCCTTGGAACCTTCGATGGTTCGGTTGTTCTTCAAAGCCTTGGGGGGGATCTTCAGGGTTCTTCCTGCCAACAGAGGTTGAAGGACCTTATAGACTATCCCAGTTCGGTACCCCTGTAGGGTCCTAGTTCAGGTCACTGGACACCCCTCTTGGTGGTTCTGGTTCCATCCGGAGACCTCGAAAGGGGATCTTCCAGCATGGTTCTTCCACCTTCGAGATCGTCGATCGGGTCCCTTCAGCTTTCGGTTCACATTCCGACCATCCGACGATGGGTTCGCCCACTTTTGCTGAGTTGCCCAAGAAAACCAGGGAGGCTTGCTGATCAGCTAGCAGGCTGTGTAGGTCAAATGAGGCGAAGCAGGTTTTGCTTTCAATACCAGATGCATAAGGTTTGGCTCTGAGGGCGCGGGATTTTTTCCTATGCCCTAGTTAAACCCTAGCGTGTCGGAAGGTTTGCATGGTCGGTGCGCGTGTGGTCTTTTCTGCGATTTGGTGGTGCTTTGGACAAGCTGGCACCACGATGTCGCTGGTAGCCGCTGGTAGTCCCAGTGGTTCCAGTTCGACTAAAAACCATAGACGTCCATATACCGTATATGGTCGTGACTGGATCCTGTGGGAAATGACTTGATTAAAGCTCTTGCATCATGCAGCACATCCTCATTCTCTTCTTCAGCAGCTGGAATCTGTTTAAACGCACCCCAACCCGCCGTGCCGCCGCACGGTGGTGGCATACATAAATCTTTGGATCTTTGAATCTTCTGCTCGTTCTGGCATGCCCAAGATAGTCAGCAGGTTCTTCACTTGGTAGGTGCAGTTCCTCTACTATCAAATATGTATGGGATTGTGTTCAGGCCCAAAAGATCGTCACCCTTTTGCTTTCAGCTTGCGCAAGTCCGTGGGAACAGCGCTCACCTCCCCACTCCCAAGCGTCCCACACGTCCACGCTTCACCCAACCTGCGCGGTCACCGAGCGTCGCCTCGGCGGCGCGGAGGAGCAGCAAGGCCAAGGTCCAATGACTCGCGGCCTCGCAGCTGCTCAGCACGCTGTTGTAACCTCCACACCATCCCGACGACGAGCATCACCGCGCCCCGACGACCAAACCGGGGGTCGTCACGATGGTCGCGAGGCGTCTGTACAAGAAACGTACAACAACCGCGTGCTGGGACAAGGGTGGGCCGATGCAGGCGTGATTCACCGCGTGAAACGGGGGGAAGCTCGTGGTGCATTCTGGCCGCAGGAGGGAAGAGTGGGCCACTGGAGTCCAGAACTGTGAACATCATTACATTTATTTGAAAATTGGTTGAATTGTGGTGAAGCATGTGTTACCATTCCTGGTCATGAAAACTCGAATACTTCTCCATCCACAAGACCTTCCACCGTGGAACTTGCTGCAACTGCCAACTGCCCTGGTCATCCGTCAAGCGACTGATGACATTGCACTGAATGCGGGGCTGCTGCTGTAGGCTGGATAGCAAATAGAGCGCCCAATTCCATTGACTGCCCTCCTGCCGGGCAGGAACACGGGCAGGGGGATAGCACCCAATAGCATCCGACAACTTGATACCAGTAACAGTGGATGATGATGGTGAGTGAAGGCCTTGTTCAAAAATAGCGATAATAATATGTGATAATTGTTTACTGACTGTTACAGGTAATTAATGGGACAGACCCAATTGATATCTAAATACAGTATTCAAAAAGAGAGGCAAATACACCACGTGTTTCTCCAACCTAAGGCTGCCATCCATCTTACTCGGATTCGGGGGTTTCTCATCTCGCTGCTGTCGAATAGACTCTGACCACGCCGTGTCTATCCCTTTGATCAAACTCCTTGACTCTTACCTCGACCATTCTATGTGAGTCCACCACTTCTACAGAAGCAAAGCTCCCAAAAATACATCCCACGACCACGCCAACAAACCCACCGAACCCACCGACTGATCCGACCAACCACCGGGTTGGCGGCGCCTCACAGGCGTTGATGGCCGCGTTGTAGCTGATGACATCCTTGGGCCATCCATCGGCCCCCAGCAACCACAGGGCCTCCATCGCCCGTGCCGAGGAACACGCGGAAAGAGTTCGCGAGAACACCCGGGAAAAGTTCGAAGAGGAACCCGAAACTGCCGCCCGTGGGTTCTTTGGGGTGTGAACCCCCGAGCTGACGTCAGGTAACCTGGGGTTTTGTAGATTCAGAGGGCGCTCTTGGGATGTTTATTGCTCAAATGGACCAAAGCTGGGGGGTCCAAAGCGTGGCTGTGGCTGGCGGCCACAATTCATCATGGGAACTGATGGACATAGGAATCCGAACAAGTAAGTAACGGACGCGCACTAGTAGAATGCCACTGTCGGATATGTTCACGTTCACGATTGGAAAACAAGTGGACCGAATCCACTAGGAGCAAGGGCATCGCTACTAGCAGCAAGAAGCTAGTAGCTCCTGGCATTACTACTAGTAACAAGGGCATCGCTACTACCCAGACGCTCCTGGACCCTCATATGCAGGGGTCGGACCCTCATATGGAAGGGTCTGGACCCTCAAATCCCTATGGTTTTGAGGGACCAGTCGGGCTGTTTGGAGCGTCTGGGTAGTAACAAAAGGCACTATAGTAGCATTCTTGCTATACTAGTAACTAAAAGCTACTAGAAACTGCAGCCGCGGAGTGGTTTGCTCGTCGCTTCACGTGGCTTCGCCCAAGCGTACGACCTGACGGCGATCCCGACGGCAAGGCCTTCTGCCATTGATTCCCACGACCCAAGGCATTCAGGAGAGCATTTCGTAGCACGAGGCCTACGGACTGCCGCGACGGCGCGGGCGGCTGCGGCGTGCGTTCCCGTGGGTGTTGCCGTGCCGAAGCCAGAGAGAAATAGTGGAGGGCCAGGCGCCATTGACCTGCCGCGGTGTGGATGCCAAGAGACCTGTACGTTTAGAGGCTGCCTTTTTCTTCTTCACCAAACTGGCAACAAGTCAATTTGATCTGGTCCAATCCACTGTTGCGACTTCTTTGCTGGAAATCAATCAAAAGTCTTCTGCTCAAATGTAAAGCAGTGCTCCGCCCCACAAGTCGCCCTTCACATTGCCGCCGGACGCGCTTTTTATTTGAGGGGACCCGTCGGACTTCCGTTTGACTCACAAAATGGGAACGACCTGGTTTTGCGCTTTACCTCCTTGTCGTTGATTCGGGATGACCAGCTTATTGTTCGTGGGCCAGGAAGCCTAGGGAGGAGGATGCATGCATTTGAAAAACCTCCGGTTTTTGTCTCAAGGACTCACCTCCTTCTGCACAGGCGCTGATCGCGGCGCCGAACGCGATCTCATCGCCTGAGCGATGCAGGTGTTTGAAGTCGAAAGACAAACAAGTACTAGGGGCCCTCAGTTTACGATGAAAAAGAACGGTGTTCACATACAAAAACCATGTGCTTTTGCTAGAAGGGTCACAGAAAGACCATTGACTTTTAATTGTCTTTGGACTTCCAGGGTTTAGACATGCAAATGGGGCCCATGTTTGAAAAAAGAACATGAAGAACATTGAAGAACAGTTTTTTTCATCACATCTGACCTGAAGGTTTTTCTGCCAATGGGAGACCAATGCAGAACACTTAGACCCACCTTGGGGTGGCTGGCTGATGGACCAACTTCGAGCTTTTGATCCAAAGCTGCAGAGAAACCGTATACTTTTCATGCACCTGGACCCTCAAAGTACTCCCACCAATCGCTACCGCTACAAAAAAGCATCTTCTTTCTACTTCGGGTCATGTGCCAATCTTCTAGGGCACGAAGTCAGGTCCAGGTACTTGCCACTCGAATCGTTGGGGTGCAGGAACGCAAACGCTCGCGAGCGATAAACCGCTTGGGGGTAGAAGAACCATCGGACTGCACCATACTGCACCAACGCTCCAGGTACCAACGAATTACTCCAACTCTCTGCGCTCCAACAATCTGCGCTTCAAGTGGACAAGCCCCTCCTTATGCTCATGAGGAGAATCGTCTTCCTCTCTGGGCCCAAAACGTCCACGCAACCTTGTTGGAGAGGGCACGGAACCGCCAACAACCGAAGCTCCAGAAAGCCCACGAGTTCCAAGTGGCTCATCTCCTCTGAGGGATCAAACAACTGGAGCGCCAAACACCATTGGCTGCCTGAACGACGTGCGACTCCGTCCTTCGTCGGGTTGGCGTGGTCGACTGGTTGGTGGAACCGGTGGAGGGTCTGTTGGAAACGAAGGTCTCTCCACTCTGAAGGACATGGTCCATTGATGTGTCTGGAGGAGTCCGACAAAAAGCCATGCATCGGAGGCTATGGCCATTGGCCATATCGACATGTTTTCTTGCCTAGGTTCCCCAGCACCAGATTCCCAATCAGGAATACAATGAATTCGTAGATTCACCAAGATTCCACGCGGACTCCCTACACTACACGTTCCACACGTTCACATCACCCAAAAGGGCCAGAATTCCCTCGTCTCTCTCATCCGTTCGACGGTGTCTCACCTCGTTCACAGGCGCTCATGGCCGTGCTCACCGACACCACGCTGGGCTGCAGGGAGGACTGCGACAACTCGGCCAGGAGGTGAAGTGCCAAGGGCCACAGGGCGCCTGGCGGCAGAAGGTGTAGTGTTGGTGAAGCCAGTTGATCCCAAGCAGGTGTTTCACAGAGGTTTCTTCATCTGCTAAAAGGAACACATGGGGAATATCACATCAAAGAATACACGTGTCCTGTAGTGCACAAACGATGACCACGTGCCAAAGAGTCTTGCCTCGCATCCGAGCACGGACGGCCCCATGACGATGAACGGGCGGCCGCGGCCGCCCCACCAACGCCGTTCACCTCGCCTCGCTCAGCAGCACTGATGGCACCGTTGTAGACCACCACGTCCGCCGAACATCGCTGCGTCTGCAACTCTTGAAACCTGATGCGACGCGCGAGTCGCGGCCGGGCGAGGACCATTCGGGCGAGGAAACGGAGGCGTTTGGTCGAGCCGGAAGAGGAGGTATAGTCTCTTCCCTGTGGACTTTGAGGTGATACACTGGAGATTTGGAAGTGATTTTGGGTGATGTCTTCATCCTTCGGAAGATGACTTGAATCATGTGTAATTTGACAAAAACAACTGCACTTTGTTTGCCATGTCATGGTGCAAGCTCTAAGTCACAGAACTTGGCACCCCTATAGCTAACAACCGCATCCACCTTGCAGCCTCTTATCACTCCAAACGCTGCTGGGCCACACTTCCAGGGCCATGGCCCACTGCTCTGCCTTGTTGCATGCGCTCATGACACTGCTGTAGAGCACCGGGTCGCCTGTGGATGGGGGAAAACACACGGCAGAACGATGCAGAACGATGCAGAACATGGTCCTGTGGATGGATGGTCCCACTCTGATTGCAGTTCACGCCATGTGCGAAACGAACCTCATCGGTGGTGAAGAGGTTTCCTTCTCCCGGCAGTGCATCGATGTGACGGTGGAAGCCAGGATGTGCACAGGTCCCAGGGAACTGGGTGAAGGCGACGTCCTGCCGCCTCCGTTCGTAGCGTCCTCTTGTAGTAGTGAGGCCAGGAGCCCCTAGTAGCTTCTTGTTCCGTTCGTAGCGATGCCCTTTGCTACTACGTGGCTAACTTGCTACTGCCTGCCCGGCCTGCTCTTCCTTTGATTCTCTGTGATTGCCATGTGGTGAACATGCTGGGCTGTTCTTGCTCCGATCCTTTGCGAAGCGAACTTCTGGAACACTTCTCAGTGCGCACCGAACTTCTTCTTCTAACTTACTTTTCTTCTCGTGCGTTCTGTTGCATTTTTGACACTTGGATCAGATTTAGCACGAGTTTCAGCTTCCCCTGAGAAAAAACAAACACTGGCTGAACAGCGGTGCTTGGCCAACTCAGCCTGAGCAAATCGGTCATCAACGGTTTGAAACGTCAGAGCCATGCACTTAGTCACTTAGGTCAAGAGTCACAACTGGGTCAAGAGTCATTCACCAAGTCTGTTGTTGACGTATCTCAAGATGAGTTCCTTCACCACACTGATGGGTTCCTTCTAGACGGACATGAACTCGTGAACTTCCTTTTCCCCAAAGACTATACTGAACACTATACTATAATACTATATGCTTCAAAGTTCCAACCGCCCCAGACCACTCAGTCGTTCTACCCCCGCGCCGCACCGCCCTCTCGCAGCACTCGGCCTCTCTCTGCTTCTCGCAGCAGCGCCAAGGCCCAGGGCCACTGGAGCGCCTTCTCACACGCGACCAGTGCCGCGCCGAAGCTATAGCGGTCCGCCACCAGGCGCCTAAGCTGGTCTGGCTTTGGGGATGGGCGTGCGGTGCGAGGCGAGAGTCATGGGGAAGAAAGAACAACTTGAATGAGAGCATCTGCAGTCTCATGACATCCTCCCTGAAACCTTTTTTGTGGTCAGATATGAATTCCTCGCAACTGACTCAAGCGTTGACTGATGCTTCTGGTATTCACTTGGGGTGCGAAGTAAGGGTGGGGTGACTAGAGGGTCTATCCTTACTTCTATGGGGTATGGGCCATACACGCGGAATGGGCCATACACGCGGAACAAAAAAGAGTCAGTCCAGTTTTTGTTCGGGGTTTGGAGCACCTTCATTGCCCCCTACTTTACACACTGGATGATTCAAACAGACCCGTCCCCAACTGGTACCCACCGCAACCTACAGTAACAGACACCCTGCCCGGAACAACCCGCGGCGCTCTACACCGCCCAAGACGCCAGCGGCGCAAGCGCTGCAGCAGGTCCAGTGTCCAGGGCCACTGCGTGGCGCGGGCACAGCATTTCATCGCCCGGTTCGTGGCCGACAGAGAGATCGACGGAGGTGTCATCACGCTGTGCAGCGCACGTTGCCATCTGGGAGGAAGGAGTTGAGGGTGACAGGGGGTTGAGGGGGAAAGGCTTCGGAGCCAGGTGGCAAGCTCCAAATGTGTGTTTGTACCCCCAGTTTGTGTGGGATGTTGGCTTCACTTCACTTCTGGTTTGGACATACAATTCTTTTGGCGGGTCGAGTCTCACTGCACTAGAAACTCGAATCCAGGTCTATATGATTTGACCGTGGCAGGTTGCGAAAGACGTCCTGTTCATGGACTGGCCGCTCTTCGATTCATTTTCGTCCTAAAGCCATGATTCCTGGCATTTCACAGTTTTAACTCACTTTGTCTTGTGTCTCCACCAAGTACATGCCTCACAACAACCCGCAGTCCGCACAAATCCCACAAGACTCGCGGTTCGTCCAGCCGCACCATAGTTGGCACCCAGTTCGTGTTTTGTAGCTGGGGTAGGGTGACAGTAGACTGACACTTGAGTACAGAAAAGGATTCCATTCCCAAATGGTGATTTGTACAAAGGCTTTGCCAAGAATGGTCTTTGGCAGTTGAGCCAGGAGTTTCTGCAGGGGCTCTATGTACCGCGTTGCACTTCACCTTATTTTCAGCCGGTGCTTGTCCTGCTAGAAGCACTGTGAGCAGCCTGCATTCTCACTTGAGAAATGACAGCTTGTTCTTTCCTTTAGATGTCAAAACTTCTTCAACATTCTTCAAATGTCTGCACATTTTCTGTTCTACAATCTGCATCAAAAATCTGCATCAACATTTTGTGTTTTTCCTAACATCGAGATCCACGCCTTTTTTGGGCTTTTTTCAAACATTTGTATGCGAATTGAAACAATGCCTGTGCGCCCCACACTCCCGCAAACACTCCTGTACCAGAAAGACGCTCATGTACTGGACATGCGAAGCAAAGAAGAGTCCAAGAGCCAACTGCAAAACAACAGTAGGCAACTCCCACCAATGCGACTTTGAGGTTCTCTAGAACCTCCAGAAAGGTGGAAGCACCATGCTGGCAAGATCTGCATGACAAGAACAGCCACAAATCCGTCAGAATAGGAATACCAATGAGCCAAAGCATCAAACCTTCAATCAAATGAGCGATGGCCATCTTCATATGGCCTCCAGCAAAAAGGGAGGCGGTCAAATCGAGGAAGGCCCAGATCACAGGAAGTGACACCGAGAGGCTCCACCCTCTGGTGAAAATGGTCTCCTGCAATCCTGAAACCACTGTCTCCAGAACGGCTGATCGCACGTAGTTTTCAAATGCCTCTTGACTGCCAAACCAAATAGACACACATTCCTTGAGGTATTGCCTGTCACACAGCATGTTTTTTCCCTCAAGTACATGGTCCAGATCGCAACATAAACATCGGGTGTCGTCAAAGCTGATGTTCTGCAACTTGGCCTTCAACGCTTCTACTGAGCGGAAGTACCCGCGGAAGGCTGCAATGACGAAGTACGCACTGATGACCAATAAGAAGAGAAAGACAGCAAAAAAGTAAACAAATGCAGCTGGGTTGGGTTGTGGTGTCGGTATGGAGGTCAAAGGCGATAGCACGATAAATGAGCCGATGAACATCACAATTGAACACGGACCAACAAATGTGGGTCTGATGCACAGCACTTGCTCACTGGCATCTTTGCTTTTCAAAAACGCTGCCAGCTCGAAGAGACACCACAGCCGATCACCCCATGTAGCATCCCACAGAACTAGCATCTCATCTGACCTTTTCAGAATGCCTGCCAAGCTAAAAATACTTGCGGCCTTCTGATACTGGTCCTTCTCATTGATGCAAATCCGGTCCAAAAAAATAAGCTGCCATGGCTGCCAAAAGCAAAAGGTGATCACCGATGCTGCAAAGCCACTTCCTAGTGTCCACATTGACCACGGTGCCCAACCAGATTGAATTCTTGGCAGGAGGTCACAGCTGACGAGGATTGCCATGATCAAAGCAGTGAAGGAACCTAACAGAACTGATGGCAACCCATTGTATCGCATCATGAGCGTAAAGATCTTCATCCAAAGCCTACCATGCCAGGAATGGGACCAAAAGCAAGAGATCCTTTCGCTCGTGAACCCCTCTGCATAAAGGTTATCTGTATTGGTCTTGCGCAGTGCTCGTGCACAATTTTTGAAGGCTTTGTGTGCACGTGTGGCCCTCATAGCTTCAGGCTTTAAGATCTCCATTCGCGCCAAATAGGCAGCGACCTTTCATGTTTTGGTCAATGTGGGGATTCTAGTTGCAAATGCAAACTACTTTTACACACATCCAGGCTCTAAATCACATATATCCGGGCTCTAAAGCTGGCAATGGCACTCAACACAACTGAATTTGCTTCTATCTTCAAACGCCGAGAATGAAACTACAATAATCGGGTGCATAAATACACACCTCACACCAACCTGGAAACAGGAAACAACTCTTTTGACCAATGGTCTGAGAGACATCAAAAGACAAGTACCCAAGAACAAGAAAATACAACATATCATTTAGTGCTTTTGGTGTCTGTTCGTCTATATAGTCAGATCTGTTTGACAGACTCAGCTGGTGGTCTTCCCTAGGCCTAAGGAGATGCCTAGGAAGCTCTCCGTGGTTTGAACACGTCCAGCGCCTTCCAATGCTGTTCCTCTGTAAGCGCATCGGGCGACGGCGACGAGCTCAGCGTTTCGCTGCCCACGTCTGCCGGTGCCATCTGTGCCGGCGGTGCATCGCCATCGGCAGCCACCATCGTTTCCATCCCTTCGTCCCTTCACGAAACAGAGTGGATCAACACGTCATGCAGCAATGGCACTGTCTATAAGGCTATCTATATGCATTGTTTCAAGAATATATCTATTGGTGGGATTCCTGTGAGGGATTCCTGAAGACTCGGCGTTGGAGCTTCGGACTTGCATGTCCCGGATGGGCGCCGATGGGCTTACCGCCCATTCCGTGTCGGTTTGGTGGTTTGGGCGGGTGCTGGGCGTGCGTGCTGAGGGCTGAGGGTGTGGGGTCTGTCCCTACCACGTGCTGGATGTGAGAAAGTCTCAGAGCCCATGAAGGATCCCCAAGCGAACTCCTCGAGCCCAACTCCTCGAGCACACGAGCATGAGAGCTTGCGGCGCCCGGTCCGAAAAACACCTTCGGACCGTATGAGACACCTGCGCTGCACCGTTGGTGTCATCACGCTGCGCGTTGCGCGCCAGACGGCCATCTGGGAGGATGGGGAAGATGCAGCACTGATGGGCTGGTGAAGTATGAGGTGAGGGTGACAGGACCTTCAGTTTGTCTGGGATGTTGGCTTCACTTCCGGTTTGGAAATACAATTCTTTTGGCGGGTCCAAGTCTCACTGCACTAGAAACTCGAATCCAGGTCTATATGAATTGACGGTGCGAAAGTCGCCCTGTTCTTTTTCGTGCCGGATCTTCATCTTAAAGCCATGATTCCTGGCGCTTCACAACTTTCACCTTGTCAACGCATTTTGCCTTGTCTCTCACCCCCAATACCAGTACATGCCTCACAACAACCCGCAGTCCGCACAAATCCCACAAGACTCGCGGTTCGTCCAGCCGCACCATAGTTGGCACCCAGTTCGTGTTTTGTAGTTGGGGTAGGGTGACAGTAGACTGAGTACAGAAAAAGATCCCATTCCCAAATGGTGATTTGTACAAAGGCTTTGCCAAGAATGGTCTTTGGCAGTTGAGCCAGGAGTTTCTGCAGGGGCTGTATGTACCGCGTTGCACTTCACCTTATTTTCAGCCGCTACTCATCCTGCTAGAAGCACTGTGAGCAGTCTGCATTCTCACTTGAGAAATGACAGCTTGTTCTTTCCCTTAGATATCAAAACTTCTTCAACATTCTTCAAATGTCTGCACATTTTCTGTTCAAAAATCTGCATCAAAATATAAACATGTTCAAACAACACCTTCTGCAATCACTCAGACTACAAAATGGGAATACACAACATATTTTGCGCCTGTTTCTTAACATCGAGATCCATGCCCTTTTTGGGCTTTCTTGAAACGTTTGTAGGCGAATTGAGACAATGCCAGTGCGCCCCACACTCCTGCAAACACTCCTGTACGAAAAAGACGTTCATGTACTGGATATGTGAAGCAAAAAAGAATCCAAGAGCCAGCTGCAAAACAACAGTAGGCAACTCCCACCAATGCGACTTTCAGGTTCTCTAGAACCTCGAGAAAGGTGGAAGCACCACGCTGACAATACCTGCATGAAAAGAACAGCCACAATTCCGTCAGAAAAGGACCACAAATGAGCCAAAGCACCAAGCCCTCAATCAATTGAGTGATGGCCATCTTCATATGGCCTCCAGCAAAAAGGGAGGCGGTCAAATCGAGGAAGGCCCAGAGCAAAGGAAGTGACACTGAGAGGCTCCACCCTCTGGTGAAAATGGTCTCCTGCAATCCTGAAACCACTGTCTCCAGAACGGCTGATCGCACGTAGTTTTCAAATGCCTCTTGACTGCCAAACCAAATAGACACACATTCATTGACGATTCGCCTGTCACACAGCACGGGAGTTCCTTCTTGTTCATGGTCCAGATCGCAACATAAACATCGGGTGTCGTCAAAGCTGATGTTCTGCAACTTGGCCTTCAACGCTTCTACTGAGCGGAAATACGCGCGGAAGGCTGCAATGATGAAGTACGCACTGATGACCAGTAAGAACAAATAGAAACCAAAAAAATAGACAAATGCAGTTGGGTCGGGCTTTGGCATTGGAATGGTGGTCACAGGCGACACCACAAAAAAAGTGGCAATGAAAAGTACGATAGAAGATGGACCAAGAAATGTAGGTCTAATGAAGAGCACTTGCTCATCGGCGCCTTTGCTTTTCAAAAACGCAGCCAGCTCGAACAAACACCACAGCCGATCACCCCATGTAGCATCCCACAGAACTAGCATCTCGTCTGACCTTTTCAGAATACCTGCCAAGCTAAAAATACTTGCGGCCTTCTGATACTGGTCCTTCTCATTGATGCAAATCCGGTCCAAAAAAATCATCTGCAGTGGCTGCCAGAAGCAAAATGTGATCACCGATGCTGCAAAGCCACTTCCTAGTGACCACATTGACCACGGTGCCCAACCAGATTGAATTCTTGGCAGGAGGCCACAGCCCACGAGGACCGCCACGACCAAAGCAGTGAAGGAACCAAATAGAACTGAAGGCAACCCATTGTATCGCATCATGAGCGTAAGGATCTTCATCCGAAGCCTACCATGCCAGGAGTGGGACCAAAAACAAGAGATCCTTTCGCTCGTGAAACTCTCCTCATAAAGGTTATCTGTATTGGTCTTGCGCAGTGCTCGTGCACAATTTTTGAAGGCTTTGTGTGCACGTGTGGCCCTCATAGCTTCAGGCTTTAAGATCTCCATTCGCGCCAGATAGGCCGCCGCCTGTTATGTGTTTTTGTCTAAGGCTGGTCACAATTGCTGTGGGGATTCTAGTTGCAAATCGCAAACAGCTCTCACACACATCCAGTCTAAAGCTGGCAATGGCACACGACTGAATTTGCTATCTTCAAAGGCCGAAAATGACATTACAATCATCGAGTGACATACCTGGAGTCTCAAAAGTACCTCGGAAAATGGGTACAAGTACCTGTTTTTATGGGGTCATGTTCCATTTTCTAAGGTACTCTGGAGACTCCAGGTACATACACACCAACGTCCGAAACAGGAAACAGAGACCTTAAGAACCGTCCGAGAGATGGTCCGAGAGAGGACCCAAGAGGACCAACAGGAACCAGAACAACCCAAAAAAAGTCCCAAAAAACCATGAAGCGAACTTGGTATCCCTATGGATCCACATACCGTACCTCAGAAGGTAATTGGGCCCCCTGGCGCCTACATAAATAGTCTCCAATCACCGTACCTGAGAAGGTATGTGGATCCATAGGGTATCTTGCTTTTGGTGTCGATTCTTCTAGTTAGATCTCTTGGACCGACCCACCGATCCGTGTTCCCCCAATGAAGCTGAGCTTCACCCCACGGGTCCGTGTTTGTTTCACCTCGTCCAGCGCCTTCAAATGCTGTTCCTCTGTCAGCGCATCGGGCGACGAGCTCGTCGAGCCGTCGCTCGTCGCGGAGCTCGAGCCTTCGCTGCCCACATCGCTGCTGCCCACGTCGCCGCGCATCCGCTGGTCCCATCCGTGGAAGTGGCACTCCGGACGCGTCCCTTCCTCCATGGACTGCTGGTCCGACAGCTGGTCTCAATTGACACCCAAAGCTGACACAAAAGCCTGCATGGACTCCATGGATTTGGGGTAGCTTTGGGACTGCTGGTCTATGCATGATTCCAAGAAACATGACTTTGTGGATCTTTGTGGGATTCCTGAAGACTTAGAGATCAGGGAACTGTTCCTATATTGGTCTGTTTCGGTTTGGTTGGGGTGTGTGGTAGTCTGAGGATGTGGGTTCTTTATCCGACCGAACCTGAGGATGTGGGTCCTGTGCAGCCGATGTGGGTCGGCTGAAGTAAAAGAACGTCATGTTGCACCTCGCCAAGCAATTCAAAGAACTCCTTGAGCACGGTTGCGGCTTGGTGGGAACGTTTCTCCGTCGGTGGTTTTTATTGTCCTCGAGTGGAATCCCATAAACCACCCGAGATCAGCGTGGCGGAGCTTTCAAGAAAAGATCTATCATCGTACATCACAATTCAGTACTTGGAACGACTTCTCCTCACACCACCATTTTCAGGATGAAACCAAACACCCCACGCACGAGCGACATCCACAAAGGTGCGTCCACGCATGCGAGACGAGCGACGCAGTCGACATCAACCTCCCAAGCGATCGACATCCATCGACGTCGAGCCACTGGAGTGCCCGACAGCAAGCGTCCAGCTGCGCCAGCTCGGACTCCATCGCGTCTCGTACCGCAGGGAGCAGGCGGGCGCAGGCGCTCGTTCTTCGGCGGAGCCGGCCGCTGAAGGGCGGCGACGGCGATTGCAAACAAGACCTCATCCAAGGTGACGGTCACGTTTTTCTTCGTTTACATTTAATTTAAAACATGTCTTCTGACCTCGTGAAAGGGAATCATGTACCACATGGTTAGCTACGTAGTACATGTGTCCCTTCTATTGGAGGCCACCTGTCTCGGCCAAACAGGCACGTTTTTGTCCACCACTGACCACCGAACTCTTGTCTCCCGATCCCGATATCGTTTTGTTAAGCATCTTCTTGTTGAAAAAAAACACTCGTCTTTGTTTGCCCCGGGAAAGCGGCTTCTCCAAACACCGGTCACCGTCGTTCGTGGTCGTTCGGATGGGACCGCCCCTGGTGTCGTTCACGCCTGATCACTGGGCAAACCGGGAGCCAGGCGGGCCTTTTTGCTCTGCCAACCCCCCGCAGCAGCTGCGCCCCGTCACTGTGTACAGTGGTCAAGCGTCTCAGCTCGCCTGGTCACACCGGGGAACATTCATCCAAATAGCGGTCATGGCACGCGGAACTGACCCTGGCGCCAGTAGGTCCTACTAGGAGCGACCGGACGCTACGAACAGGGCTCCTGGCCCTACTAGGAGCATTACTTACACTACCCAAACGCGACCCTTGGACCCTCCGTTCAGTAGTGGCCCGTACCCTCCCTCATATGGAGAGGTCCACAGACCGGAACCAATCCCTAGGTTTTGAGGAACCAGGAAAGGGCGTCCTTCACGGAGCGGTCTGGTCGGTCCTCCACAGCCAGATGCACTGGACACGAAGCGTCCCGTCTGGGCACGGAGCGTCCACCGGCAAAGCCGCAGTGGTCTCCGCTGGTCTTCACGGTTTGTGGAGGATGGTTGGATTTTGGAAGCTTCCGGAGTGTGACACCATCAGCACCATCCAGTGATTTCGTCTCACGTTGTATCGCTGGAAGTTGGTCATGGACAATGAGCAACACCACTGCGCCATTCCTTTTCAACCAAGTCCACGGAGTGGCACGCTCCAGTGCGACCATTCGTGAACAAGCCAAGCACTACCGGGCTGACCTCGTTGAAGAACACCGGGGGGCTGACCGAAGCCGTACCGATGTCGTACCGAAGCGACACTCGTTTCGGTGGCGCCGGCGGATCCCATCCGTTTCGTTTCGGGCCGCCGTTGACGTGGAAGACGAAAGGATCGAACCGTGCCTTTTGCCGCGACTCGCGACGTGGTTCTGCCCAAATCGCGAGGTGGACCAGGCGCGAAAGGCAGTTGAAGCGTTAAAGCTCGGTGCAGAAAGGCAGAAAAGAACGGACGGAACATCACCAGCAGCACGGATTCTGGGTGTCCATTCACCACCCCGACTGGGGGTCCAGGTAGTGGAGCTTATGAATGAGCGCAGTTTTAACATAACTAGGATCTAGTGGAGCTTTTGATCCGCCGTTTCACATGCCGTAGACGGGACCCCCGTGACCCCTCGCGTAGTCTTGGCGCCGTTGCAACAAACTCGCACGACTCAACCAACGCAGCCACTTCATGTGTTTCCCAGGCGGTTGATGAAGTAGACACCCTAGAGGTCGAAACACCATTGACTTTGATAGCCTGAATCCCGAACAACCTTTGTACTAAGGGTTGTATAATTACAAAACCAAGTCAAAACCCTTAGTGGAACCCTTAGTTTGTAAGGGTAGTCTGACCCCAAGTACAAGACCCAAGAAGTCCATTCCTGGGCCATTTTACAAAAGGTCTTGGACTTCGGCCCAGGAATGCCACATGCTCCACCTCGGATGCGATTGGTTCATCGTTCATTTCAGTCCGAGGGCCTTTGTCGACTGAAGCCCGTAGCAACGTGCCAGCTCGCCCACGCGATGAGGCAACTCTCCGCTGTGTCAAGCATGTGCTTCCGGTCAAAGCGCTCCTTGAAATGGATGAGGCTGCCAAAAGAGAAAAGCATGTACTTGTCCTGCCGCATTCGTTTTCTGCCGCATTCTCGTTCGACTGTCGCTCTAGCCCTCTGAACGTGGCCTGGCACGTGCCTTTGGGTGGCAAAGCTGAAAATGCATTGGGCGGCGAAATGTCTGTCAGCTGGCAGAACTCCCACGGCTCTGGAACTTGAAGGCCTCGCGGGCTGCACCCCTGTCCAAACCTTCAAGCATGAAAGTGACAGGAAGACAAGCCTCTTGGTGCATTCTGAGTCGAAGTGCGCCAATCAAACGATCCATAATCAACTCTGGAGGCTTCGGGTTGGAGTGGTGCCGGCGCAGACATCCAGATCCGTCGAACGCTGGGCGTCCATGATGTGTGACCCGTGAATTCAGCTTCTGCACCTGGCCGGGTTGGGCCTCTGCACCTGGCCTTATTTTATCTCCTTTTTGAATGGTGTTTCAATGGTGTTTCATTATGTTCTATATTTCTTGAAAAAAAGCACAATAGTCCCGTCTACCCTTGGGCTGGGTATCTCGGTATTACACATCCTGCAGTGACGCTTCATTCATGCACAGCGCATGCGTCGCAGCGGCAATCTTTGTGGTTCAAGCATGTGTGTGTGTGTGTGTGTTGATTTTGGATCAGAACCTGTTGTTTTCCGGTGCGTGCAAGCGGTGTTGGTCGCCATGAGCCTGTTGGGTTGCGCAGTCAGGATTCCGCTGATGGACGCTGTGCAGGTTAAGACAAGAAGCCCATTTGTAGCACTTTTTGAGTTTGAACACCTTTCTTGACCTTTTGTGGCTTCTTTTTGCATGATGACGTGCGCCTTTTTTTGTTGGGGGTTTAGAGGGTTTGACGACGACGCTCGAAAAAGGACGCTCTTCAGACTGAAGTTCAGACTGAGGGCCTGTTGGGTGGTTTCACCGCCGGAACCACCCCAAGCCGTGGCGGTGATTCGGGCTCCATGAGGCTCCGGCAGCGCTGAGTCTTGTGCTTTTCAATTGAACGACCAACGTCTGACCAGTCAGGTGGTTTTTGGTTAGGAAAATAGCAGGGAAGCTTCAGGAGATGACTCCTAATACTGGGAGGGACCTTGAATCAACAAGATCCAAAGGCATCTCCGTGCTGTTCAGGAACACTTCTTCTGCAGCGCTTTTTGGATCATGGTTCCAGGAAGTACAAATGAATGACTCAAAGATACTCAAAGACCATACAGTATCAGTCAGGTGTTGATATAGGTATAATCAATCTGCAATTGTACACATGAGCTGATCACCATATACCGGTATCATTCAATCAGTCAACTGTCTCTGATCAAACCCCGCGACGCCAACCCGCCCCCGGCACCCCCAGCGCGCCCTGTTGCCGCCACACTTCAAGCCGCCTCTGTTGCACGCCTCCGCGTGGCACGCAGCGTGGGCCAAAAGGAATTCTCCCCAATTCAGAGTTGGAGGATGTCGCTGCTACAGCCTCCGCAGACCACTTCTTTCTAGCCGCTAGCGGTGGCGAAAGGACCAAGCTTCAAGGGTGAGCATCCATTCTTGGACATGTTGCATCACGAAGCTAGAGATGGCTCCCCCTTTTAACATCATCATGTCCAAAAAGACACCCACTTTTGCTCCCAAAAAGGCTGGTTTTCCTTGGTGCCCGAGTGACCGTTCTTCAAAGTGACCGTACTTGATCACCTGCTTGGTTCGATCACAAACAAGCCTCCTGTTTGGGTCACTTATATAGGAACCTTTCGGTCACGAACTGAAGAAGCTGGCCCTAAACCCTTCAAAGTACCTTGGAAAATGGGGGCATGACCCTAGACTATAAGCAAGTATGACGGTGAACCCCACGTTCTGGTCATAGGGTGTGTGTCGCGACCCACTGGGGCCTCCTTTTCCTTTTCGCTACGAGGCTCGTCGACCGAGAAAGGCGACCGCGCCGAAGCTTTCGGCACCGCGACCCGCGTGGAAGTGAAGGTGGTGAAGGCTTCACCCGAACCCCCGACCCCGACCCCCGTGGGTGGGTTTGGGGCCCTTTCACGGGTCGCTGTCAGGTGAAATGCGATCCGATCCAGGATCTGATCCTGCAGGGTTCGTCCTCTTCCCAGATGGGTACACCAAAAACGTCTGAGATGCGATGTCTGGGTGATTGGATATCGATATCAACCCGGTAATGCGGTGTTCGTATTTTTTTGCGGTGATTGAAACCCACTGCCTCACATGGGCCGGGCCAATGTACCGGTCTACCAAACAAAACTGCGCTCATTTGGGGGTGATTGAAACCTATTTGAAACCGGACATGTTGCCTTCCCCACGGATACAGGGATACGATACAACACCCGGCTCGTCGATCCAGACTGATCTGAAAAGAACAGCTCGTTTCTTGCACCACGGAATTCGGGTGGTTCGGTGGTGTTGGTTGGTTCTTCAACGGTCTACTACCAGCTTTCACCAGCTCAACGGACACTTGATTCTTCAGCCCAGCTCCAACTTCTGCCGCCTGAAGAAGGTCTCCAGCCCAGTCTTTGCGGCCGGTACCTTGAAGCTCAGTGTCCAGTGCGAGAGGTTCGAGGTCTCAGACGAGTGGTACCAGGGACCTCACAGGTCCCATCAAGACATGGTTTTCCCTAGCGAACAACTAGGAGTTTCAAAGGGGTGCGATCCATGGAGGTTAGGGGTGCCCATTATCCACTCACTTAGGGACTAAACACCACCCCGACCTGTGACTCCTGGAACATGGGTTTTATTGGGGTTTTGGTAACACCTTTCATGTTTTTCATTGGGACACCGACGCTGGCTGGGCTGCTGGGTCGGGGTACGTCTTTGGGATGGGCCAATACAGATCGTGAAACATCTCGAAAGTGATTTGTCCCGATTCCCAACACGTGAAAACATATGACGGCCAGTGGATGACGGCGCGGGGAATGCTCCACAAGCGGTAGCTCCTCATTATAGCTCCTGCAGTCCTTTTTAAAACATGTTCACGATTCAACATGTTTCAATCGCTCTGCCACAGTCGGCTCTAAACATGCTTCAAGTTGTCCATGAATGTCAGTGGTCTGTTTCCCATGTCGCTCACTGTTGTCGCCTTTTTTGCGCCACACCGTCCTACTGTGGTTTGACTGCATCGATGGCCGATGGTGCCACACGCCCAGCTTTTCCGTACTGCCAGCACCAGACATGGGTATGAAGCACTTTCCGCCGCCTCTGAGGCGGCTGAACAAAGCACTGGAGATCAATGGATCAGGAGCTCACTCACAAGAACAGCAAGGTGACATCAGCTAAGGTGACAGTTGCTGGGATGGACAGCGGGGACGAACCCGGAACCCGGAAGCTCCCAATTGTCCCATCTCTCCGATTTAGGTCGGTCGAAGCGTTAAGCCATCCAGTCGAGGTCGGTAGTAGCCAGCCAGCCTTCTCGGTCTTCGCCTTCTTCGCCTTTGGATCGGCAAAGGCACCGGTCACAGGAAGAACTGCGAGAAGGAACAGTCACAGGGCACTGTCCAAAAAATTAACTGTTTCTCAACGCTAGGGCCCCTAAGAAGGTCTTCTTTATATAGGTTTGCATCTTCGAATATGCTGCCTGGCCAGGATCCCTACCCGACTCGGTCTTGGGGCAGTGTGGCTTCTGTCGAGGCAGTCTTCCAAAGACCAAGTCTTCGGCTTACACTCTGGAAGACTAACATGGACCCTGAAAACCGCTGGTTGGTAGAGGAAAACACTCTTCCAGGGGGCCAGGACGTCAGGGTCAACACAGTTTTCGGGAGTGTAGTTCGAGGAGACCGCCAATGCTTAAGCAGTTGGGGTGTGCTTCACCGACCCGGTGACCCCTGTGACCGACGTGCCGCTTGATCGGACCCTGAAGAGATGGGTCGATGGCTTTGGGCGAAGGACTTTGTGGTTTCAGAACGACGAATTGGCCGAACGACCTGGAAGGTGGGCCCAACGGACCGTCCCTGTTGTCGGTTGAAAAACAGGGAGAGACTCCCTGGCGTCTAGGGGGTAGTTGGGTCTTTTTGGTTCTCCCTCCGTCGCCCGAAGAAATCGAAGTGGAACTCACAGCGCTGAAGTGTGTCGCCGCTCGCTCAGAAGCTTTCGGGCCCACCCCCAGAAGTGGTCGCGTCCGCCCCAACTCCCGTCCGCCCCCCGTCTGCTCATGCGCCCCGTCACCTTCACCCCCCGCCCCCGTCGGCCTGGTCGACCCGTCGACCGAACACGAACACCCGACCCAGTGCGATCCCGCCGCCCGCCGGCCTTGTGGGGCTTTTGCCCGGTCGTCGCCGCCTCTCCCAGGGCCGAAGGTCGGAAGGCCAATTGCCAACGCGGTGAAGAGCTCGGTGTACGAAAGGAATCGAGAAGCTGTGGGAGCTCTAGCAACCACAGAAATGGAGGAATGGGTTCGAACGGGCCCAACGGTTCATAGCATGGCTATTGGTCAAACACTTCGGGTTGACCGGCTCAGCACCCGCTGCCACATAATCCCCTTCAGGTCGACTCTACAGTAGGTTCTTTCTAGATCAGTGAAAAGAGCTTCGACCCTTCCTTTTGTGGAATGGCCAAGTAAGGAGAGCCTAAAGTTCCCAACATGGTCTTTTAAAAACATTGTTCTAGGATTGCTGCCTTCTTCAAAAGGAATCAGCAAAACTCAGCCGAGTCGAATCAGATGGGGAACTTACCTGACCACCCCATCTCATCAACAAGGACATCATCCACATCAACCACTTCAGGTGGTCTTGGAGGCCTCTTCCGTCTTCCATCACCTTCTGCTTGCAAGCTGGTTAACCAAGCTGAAACCAAGCTGAAACCATGTCAGTCCTTGGGGTTGAACATAGAAAGGAACACCTCCGGACAGGGCCCGATGCACAGGAGGATGAAATGACCGCCCCGACCCCTTGACCGCCGTTTCGGGGAACACCTGTTCAAAACACCGACTCACGCACCGGTGAAGTGTCCAAAAAACGGGTCGGGGAGAAACGATGGGTGATCGTCCTTGGGTAGAAAGGAGAAATGTTGGACAGAAGACTTCAACGCCTGTTGCCAGTGGTAGTAAAAGAAGCAGCGATCTCTGCAGTCCATCATACGAACACCAGCCTTTTCAATGGTCTAAATCCTGCTCAAGATTGTCATGCTAGTGAAATTGAAAACACTCCTGAGCCACCTAAAAGCCCTAGATATAAACATGCCAGAACTAATATTGCGGACGTCTGATAGTTCTCAGGTGTCTTTCGATTGTCAGTACAGAAACATTGTGTTGTTTTGTGGAATAGGTAGAACAAAATGATCAACACAAGATCGGCCAGGTTCTGCTGACGCTAGTCCTTCAAGGCAGCCGCTTGCATGATACCATCCCAAGAGGTGGCGAAGGAAGAACACCATCTTGCTGGACGTCTTCTGCTCACTCAAAGAAAACGAAACCGACGACGGGTGCTGCCTTCCGCTTCTTGTCCTTCTCCTGAAGATCAAAACTGCTTGACAAAACGGGTGCCCGGGTTACCCCCAATCGGAGCACCCACGAGTCACGTGCCGTCGACGCGTCGACGCGACGCTGTGTGTTTTCGTTTCGTGTTGAACCTGGTTGGCGCTCCAGGGATTTCTGTTCTGCTCGAGGTTGAGATCGATGGGTGGTTGGGGATCAAGAAGGAAGAAGCCTGGATTCGAAAGGTGCAAGTGAACATGGTAAGCGCGGCTACTTCCTTCTCTGATTTTTGGATTAACGGCTTAAGCCCATGGCATTTTTGGGATCATCACACCATTTAATTCTGGTACTCCTACTGGGCCAATCACACCCAGCAACCCAATCACTCATTGCCTACTTGACGTACATTTCGATGCGCTCCGCAGCTTTTCTGGTGCAAATCGAACACTCTGGTCACAGGGTGTGCATCACCACATCGATGGATCCGGACACCACGCAACGTGACCTCCTTGTGTTCCTGATCCCAACGTGAACTCGATGAGAAGGTCTTCATAGGGTTATCACTGACCAAAAACCATGGTTTTTTGCTCCAAAACACACGGTTTTTGATGGTTTTCCCATGTTTTCCCTGGTGCCCTCTCTCTCCAATCCATGGTGGCGTGGCCAAACCCAAAGATCATGCCTCGACTCTACGACTCTGCCCCTGACCCGAAGCAGGTCTACGTCGTCCAGCTCCATGAAGTCTTGCACTGACTCTTTTTCTCCAAGATCTTTTGATCCCAGACGCTCCAACAGCCCTTGGTCCCTCAAAACCATAGGGATTTGAGGGTCCAGACCCTTCCATATGAGGGTCCGACCCCTGCATAGGTTCGGGTCCAGGGTCGCGTCTAGGACCTAGGATAGACCCTTTCATGCTTTAGGCAGGCACTTCCCATCCCTCGGTTCACCTCCGGCGTCACCTCTCCCAACGGAAGAGCCGCCGCCGCCTGGCAGCGTCCGCCACGCGCATTTGGTCGGTGTGTTCTCTGTGTTGGTCGCCGGGATGGTCCCAGGTGCATCAAGTCGGACGCATCGTTTTCGGAGGTTTTTGGGTAAACGAAATGACAAGTAACCGTACCAATGACTTATATATGACTTGACTTGTATATGTAGCATTACTACTGGTAGCAAGAAAGGTACCGGCCATCGCTCTTAGGTTGGAGGCCACTACGTTCGTAGCAAGAAGCTACGAACGTAGCTATCCCAGACATGACCAGTCTGGGACTGTCATAGGACTGCCGATCAATTGAACCCCCTGGCACCACCCCTGGCTTGATCGGCAGTCCGTCCTGGCAGTTCCAGACTGGTCGTGTCTGGGAGAGCTACTGAGGCTGGCTGTCGTCTGAACGGTTCCTGGTTCGCTGGTTCTTCAGGAGACCCGTTGTCTCAGCAACGACCGAGTCTTGTACCGACGGACTGGTGACCAGGCCGGTAAGCAACACTGGGAGGCGAACGAGGTGAACGGTCACGCGTTCTGAAGAACCAGGTTCCTGATGGTTAGATATAGGGTCTTGTGATGGTTATAACTATAGGATATGACTATAGGATACTATAGGGCCATAATAGGGCCACAGGAGAGATGCTGGGTTTTTCAGGAGTGATGCGTCGTTCTTCACGCCCCCCCGGTTGACACCCTGCCCGCGGAGTGCCCGTGCCCTCCAGCAATGAGGCTTCTGGCATGGTCGGAAGACAAGAACTCATGGCATCAATGGGCATGTCCCAGACACTCCATGGGACTGCCATATATGCCTACATTGATCCCCAAAACCACCCCAATTGATCGGCATAATGGCAGTCCCATGGAGTGTTTTG